CAAAATTATTTGGTTTCAGTCGAGTACAGTCAAGGTCAAGTCTACTGAAGCAAAGGATGCTACTACAAATTGTTAAATTTATTTTTATATCAAAAATATTAACTAGCTGTCGCCAGCGACTCTGTCCGCGCGGTATAAAAAATAAAATAATTAGTAGCGTAGGTGTTCTTACAGACTATGTTGTATATGCATGTTAAATTTCATCGAGATTCGTTCAGAGGTTCTGAAGGTATATTATAACAAACATGCACCTTTATTTATCTAGTATTCGCATATATAACATTATTTGGATCTTGTGAGAGCTTTTAAAATTTGTTTGTGATCGCAACTGAACTGGACATGCGTCGACGGTCTTCAAATATTCATTCACTCGAGTCACGTTCTGTTCATATTAAATACATCTTATATTAACTTAATTAATTTATTATATTATATATAAATTGATGTAATTTCAATTTATTTCTATATGTGTTGTTTTCTATTGCAAAACTCCTATTTTATACTTGAAAAAATTACATTTTTTTTCATTGGAATTTTATTGTATTTCAAACGCCATCCAAAAAAAATTATTAAACTGAAGAGCCACTAAACTATTTTAGCAATATATTATGTGAAAGAATAACTCCTGCCATTATTATAATAATAATCTTTAATACATTTACAATATAGAGATCCAAATTGTAGCAAAAATAATGTTACTTATACCTTTCTGAAATTACGCGTTCATCGCCGCGTTTTCCACTACTTTATAACAGATGGCGCTATGAAAATCTTTTTTTATTTCCGATCTCGATGTTGAGTATCTCGTCTCGTGTATACACATCTCCGCGGTGAAAAACGTTCGGCACAGAAAACAGCACTCGAACAAATCCTTTTCTTAGCCATTTTTTGGAACGCCGGTTTTCGTCGTATTGCGAAAACACCGGCAATAATCGTGATGAGTTCTGCGTAGCTGACAAACGAGCTATGGGTCGTAGCCTCGTAGCCATTTAGTTTGTCATCTTGTTTATTGGTTCGAGAAGAGAAATGCAGTCGATTTCTTTTGATGTTCCACTCATGAAGTAGGAGTAAGATTAATTTTTTGTTGTAAACTTATAATAATTATTGTAGAATGGTTAACTATTATGTCAAAATCAGTCGACAGCAATTAGGCGGTATTAATTTGTGGTCTGCAGTTATAATGACGTCGTTTCGATGGCCTTTGATAAACGTACGGATGAAGTAAAATAGCTGATTTCTTAGTTAAAATCATAACTAGTAATCCGTTCTGTTTGGCTTAGTTGTAAAATCCTTTTAGTATAATGTTATTATTCTTTGAATATATTTAAGTTTTTAATAATACAATTTAACATGGATTTGGCATTGTTTATGTGAGTTCGGTATAGTCGAAGAAATTCTTTAACCTTGTTTATTAAATATAAAAACTAATAAAACTAACATTTGATATCTATAGAAAGGGTATATAAGCATTTTGACATAGAAATATACATAAATGTATTCGATGCGACGTATGAGCTTGTTGTATATATTATTATTATTTATTTATATACGAGTAAATGGTTGGTTTTTGTATCACGTAGATAAAATTACTTTCCTAGCGACGTCAATAGCAGTACAATAGAAGCATGTAGGTCAATAGGACATCGGATTTATACATTCCTATTTGTGCACTGAATTTAAATTTTTATCTAAAACTAGCTGTCGGCCGCAACTCCGTCCGCGCGGGATTAAAAATAGATGTTGACCGATTCTCAAACCTACTCAATATGCTAACAAAATTTCATGAGAATCTGTCAAGCCGTTTCGGAGGAGTATGGGAACGAAAATTGTGACACGAGAATTTTATATATAAGATAATGAACTGCTTTCATATTTTAATAATTCAGTTTAGTAACAAGTAATAGAAAATATTATGTCAGTCTGAATTACGGATATCTTTTTTATTTTATTTCATATTGAAGACAATTAAACATAACATAAAACAATAGCAAAGCTTTTAGCAACACATGTCCAGAGAGGATACGAAAGCTACATCATGATAAGTGGTTTAACCTTATCCGATGACAGTTCTGAATTTTCGAATACTCTTTCTTTTATTTCCATTTCAATAATACGTAAATTTTGCATATCATTTACATTTTCTAAATATTTATTTGGCCATTTTTACAATATTACAGTAACAAGTATTTGAGTTGGCACTTCCGTAACAAAGGTACTGTAATACTCGACGTGCCAACTTAGATATTGTCTTTGTTATTAGTTGCGGAGGAAAAACTCAAATAAGATTCAACTTTACTGAAAATTATCTTGTAAATAGAATATCTGACAATAACGTTAATTAAGACTTAGAATAATGTAAGCGACAACTTTCATATTTTTTAAGTTCAGTTTCAATTTGTTATCGAATGTCAAAGTATTATTTTATCTTAGACAATTATATTTGTTGTAAGTAGATTGGAACACATTTCTCTGAGCTCCTCGGTACTCGGTAAGACGTTTAAACGAACTAAAAATATTAGTTCGATTTTCCGGCTCTTCTTCGTAATGGCTTCGAGGAAATCAATTTATTGGCTTGTAAGCTCAAAGAGCAAACTGTAGCAAATCAACTTAATTCTACACAGCTAGGATGTTGTTACATAGTACAAATAAAGTTCCCTAACTAGTCGAAAACATTATTCGATTTTCTAGCATCTTTGATTAGCCGCTGTGTGTTTAATTAATATAAATATGAGTAAAATGTAATTACTATTAATATTACAATATCAATAGAAAACATTCCTACAAATTAATTAAAATTATTTTCATATCGATACATATACATTTATTTTTAATATTAAAAAAAACAGCTACATTAGTTTCGCGCGACTTAAGCTAATGCCGGCGTAGACAATGTCGTAGCGTAACGAAGCGTACATACGTAGCGCGTAGCGTCTACGACGAACTTAATTGTGACTGCATCTTTATAAAGAGAAGCTTAAATGGGTTAATCTTAGAAGCGTAAGCCTCGAATTGTTCACAATATAAAGACGATTTGGAACAACAACTTTGTTTTCATAATTTGTAATATACGTTGAACTGCTGAAGAATATAAAGTTTACATGTTTTAGTACATGTATAGTATAACTTGATTTACAACTGGAGCACTGGTTCGGTGGTTCTTGGTGGTTTTACTGTGTATGACGAACATGTTTAATTAAAAAAATTCTCTATACCTGTGTCATATAATCTATAGTAAATGCACTGTATGTAATATTATATACACATACATAAAACATATGTTATTATATCGAACAGATAATGACGAGACAGATAAGCAATTTCTATGTGACTTAAAATGTATCAAAGTATATTCTGTTTGAAACACGCTTTCTTTTACGATGGCAAGCTTTAAACAAAATAGAAAGCTCAAATCGTAATAAAATAAAGAGTTTCGGACTATATCGCAATAAAGAGAAATAACGAAGCGAAAATATATTGCGTACCTATATCTTATTCAAATTATTTTTTAAGGCTCAGTTGTCTGGAAACGTTACAATTATAATGTGAAAATGGAAATGTAAAAACTGTGTATCTTTTCTTTGTGCTGCTAAATATTCAGTTTAAATTGACATCGTGATATGTGAGAGAATGTTTTATCCATATAGCCTTAAGTGTATTTGCATATAGCTGTTAAATAATAATCCTCTTACGAGATTTACATCTGTCAAAGTTACAGCGATGTTAAGTGCTTTTGTACAGGTGATGCGTCTAAAAATATACTTCTTTAATTCTAAATGATTTTATATAATGAAGTACACTCGAGTCGAGTCGCACAGTTTACTTAAAGCTTTTTTTAAATTAATAGTTTGTTGGGTAAATACACCAAGTTACGTCCGTGGAGGTCTTAAGAGGCGTTTAAAGAATAAATATTTAAGAAGGCCTCCAGGCAAAAACATATGTAGTAAATAGAACGCAATATATGATCCTAGGGTACGTTTTGCTAGACTTAATTTGTTTTAGACGTGTAATAGATGTACGAAAACAACGTATTACTTGATTAATCTCCAGTATATCCTTTTAGTTCAATGTTTTTCTCTAAGTTAATGGAGAAATTATCGTTTCTCGGATGTTCGGGTTGAACCCGACATTTTCCATCACCCTAATAAGTTTTGATAAGTAATGGTAGATACTAGTTTCACTTGATGTTAGTTGTTTTTTTACATTATATATTGTATTACATTTTAAGGTATTAATTATAAATAATGTATCAGAAGTAACAATTTACATCGCGATTGTACAGAGGAGGTAAGGTGGAGCAACACGTTGTATAAAATCAGCAGCGGGGCGGCCAAAACATCAGTCTAGTCAGGACGCTCGGCGCGCCGGTCGCACTTTTTGCTCCTTCTCGTGCCCTCTCGCGCAACCCGCGCCCTCGCGCGCCCCCACAACGTAACTAACTAATACGATATTTTGACTACTACATTAATTTTATTAAAATAGTGTACAGAAACTATAATTTCATGCACAAATTTCAGTTATTGAAATTATATTAACACGTAAACTTTCCCTTGCAATAATTGTCACATTCAATATTATTATAAGTTATTCTTCAACATTTTGTTGATAATTTCAATTTTACTATAAGTTAATTAAGTAAAAATATTTATGCATATAATGTAGACTTAATTAAGTAAAAAGTTTTGTCCTTTTTAAGTTTAAAAATAATTGTGAAATATTAATTAATTCACGATTATATACTGTCGATAATATTATACTTTTATATTTTTAAATAATTTTAACGCCAAGAAGAAATACCTATATAATAAAATAAATAATACGTACAGTATAGCAATTGTTAGATTGTAGTAATATAAAGATATTTAATCGTGTAACATTGAACTGGCATTGAATAAGTAAATGTTAGCAAGGGATTAGGTGTACGTGAAACTTTAGACATGGCACGTTGTTTGTAGATCCCGGTGGATTACATTTATATGAAATAAAGTGATATAATAACTAAAATGGCCGGCGTGAGCAGATATAGTTCATATAATTGTCTGACTGGATGGGACAGCTATGATAAAATACCAAGGTGAGTTTGTTACACGCATATATATGTTATATAGAATTCAACTCCACAGACTCCTGTTTAAATAAATATTGTCATTTTATATGACAAAATAGACTCTGCATAAATATAACGTCCTGTACAATATTGCATTTAAAAAATGTTTGCAAGTGGTAAGTAAATGTGAGTTTTTCTGAATATCAAGTTATCACGAAAAATAGGAAAACGAATACTTATTTGTTACGCATAAAAATGTATATTACAAACTGATGTACTATAAATAAAAACAAAACACTAAATGGAGTAAAATTTCTCGGAGTTTGGTATCTTTGCAATCATGTGAATTATATTAAATGCCCTACCATTTAAGTATAATTAACAACTGAGTGTAGCAGAACATACTGCTGTTATTTCAGAGTAAAATAGTTATTAATAACAAACAAAGATGCTTCGTAATAACTGGTAAAGGTTAAGTATTGTGTGTGTGTTTCATTAAGTGTTTTCCTTCCATTTCTCACAATGGATACAATTAATTTTGCACAAACAAGATTGATAGTTTTCTCGGTGCTGTGTTTAGCTCGCTATGTTCTGAACGCTTGTGGCGTTTATTTACCTCTACCCGACAGATGGCGGGAGATATCGTTTAACTTACAAGGACCTACATCTAGCAGCTAGCTTTATCTTTACTGTTATTTAATAAACTTTGATTATTTTATGGTGTGTAAATTAATATTTACTTATATTTATTTTTAGCTGGAGAAAAACAATAAAATACTTTGCCTAGTCGATTAAATAATAAATGTATAACGTTATTTAATGTTGAGAAAACAACATAATTTCTTATTTTCGTTCTCTCTTTTTCTTTTATTCTAAGCAATAAATATATATTTAGTTGTTTTATCTTTATTATTTTGACACGCGTATTTTTCCATATAATGTTAAACTAAGTTTAATTAGGTCTAAATATGCAAGGCACATGTGCTGCTTCGAGGGCGTTTTAGAAACTGACCTTTACAATTGATGGCGGCAGGTCCCCGGAGGTTTTCGGGGAGGCGACCGTCACGCCGCCGACACAGTTAACTCTCGACTATTTAACGACACAATTTGCTTAAATAAGCCCAACTAAAATTAACTCAATAGAAAAGCGTGAATCGCACAATGACTACCTACACGTATGACTTCTGGTGGTCCATAACTGTTGTTGACGCAGAACAGTAGTACAACTAATACACAATTACTGACCCAACACTACTGATCTGTTATGCCTTATTGTTCTGTCCTCGTTGAAAACAGGTCTGAAAACGAGATATATTAAAGGTATTTGAAATCAAAAGCTGTTGCGGACTCTAATGTTAAATTGGTTAGCGGTGCGCTTGTATTTTTTGCCGTCCGTGGAATGGGTTCCACGGACGGCAAAAAAACATGCTTAACATTCCGCTAGGACTGCAGCCGCTATTCGTTCTATTCATATAAGCTTAATTAATACAGAACACGAAAATATGAAAACCATTTGCATATCAGTGTTAATGAACTCAAACTAAATTATGACTCCTCACTTTTAAATTAATTAAAAAAAATATTCACAGCCCTAAAACAGACGCACCAAGAGTTCAACATTAAAATTCTGTTAGTATATTTTATATAATATGATAAAAAATTAAAAATATATGAAGATTTGAAATTATTTTCTATATAAGTATTATGTTAAAACTAATGTATGCTAAAGTAGGTTATATGTTTATTCTGTTATCGCTGACATAGCACCACTCACTTTATTGGCACCTCTCCAAACCCTCGTAGGCTTTAATCATCAAGAACATATAATTTTAATGTTTAAAATGAAATGTTAACATACCTAGTTTAGTGAAAAATGTTAAACACTAATCGATTAGCAATAATTATATTGTTCCTATTCATGTGTTAGGTACAAACGAGACCGACGACAGGCAGATGCAAATTTATGAATGCAGAAAGTTCAAAAGGGGTGTACATCTGCATCTGCGGGATGTGAAATATCCAGTATCTCTGACGACCCCTTTGTGTCACGGACATGAGTTTCGAGTGTTCATATCACAGTTATAATATCTAACCGACAATAAAGTGAAACCTTTTACTACTTTGTAAATAAATAAAACTGGTTCACAGTTGTATGTAAGTGAATTGATTATTGAATTATTTCCAGTAATAACAGAGAGCGTCGGCCGATGGCAGTACAATTTGTTTTTAACCGTATATAAAATTGTCTTTTACCCCAATCGTAGTAATGAAAGCTTCGTCCCGGGGGTGTGAGACAAATTCCCGCGTCCACGCGACCCGCTACGCCGGCCAAGGACATACTCACCCAGCCCACTCTAGCCTCGTAAAACAAACTACACACTCTCTTACTTCACGTGCAAATGGATACAGCCCTTTTTGTAAAGTCACAGTCAGATTTTTACATATTCCATTTCAGCATCAAGCACATCATTTTTACTGGATAGTGTAGTAATGTAAGCAAATACATCAAAAGCCAAATGCTTGGCTCTATTGCCAAAACATGATTTTAACTTCAAATGTTGTGCAAGTAAATATCTTATGAAAAAAAAACGCTTCAAACAAAAGCGGAAACAATATAATATTCACAAAATTTACCAATAATATAACAAGAAAGAAATTTCATAATTGTTATCGCATAATAAATTCCGTATTACTTGTAAATTGAAAGTTTATAAAATGAAGTAGCGCCACATCGTTTACCGTCCGACAATGGGGGAGACGAGTTCCCCTTTACAATTCACATTATTGATCATCTTTGTGTAAAAGTATAAAATGAACAGCTTTGAACATTATGACGAAATGATGAATACTAAGTAACATAAAGATTTTAGATGAGTATTTTGTAATCTTTTTGCAGTTGTGTTGCGTTTCCTAATTACTTTATTTAATTACGATTGATTATATTTCCAAAGATCTCTCAAAATACACAAGGGAAAGGCTCATAAAATCGAGGTTAATTCGAATGACAGATTTATCGTCTACGTACTGCGTAGCACGTTTATGTACACGATTTTCGTCCAAATAATTCGATTGATCTTGGTCTCAAAACACTTTTATAAATCTTTCCCGAACTTTGTCTTGTGTAATATTTAATCGGAAACTTTATAAATCAAGCTAGTTTCATTTCTCAATTCCAAATTCGTTCTCTTCAAGCAACGCTTTCAAGTTCGATGGATAAGTTTTCAATTAAAACTTGTGGGAAAGATGCTGTAAATAAATCTCGCAAATATAAAACTGTTCGCCAGAGGGAGGCCTGAGAACGTCGCCATTCTGTTTCAATATCTATTTTCACGAATCGAGATTTACGTAAGCGTTTAAATCGATCGCAATATTTGTTATTCCATTCGATTAAGCGCTTAAAGAAAATAGATTCCTTTAGCATCGACAACTATTACCTCTCAGGTCTTTAGTATTCTTTGGAACAGAAGTAAAGTAAATATGCTTCTGGCATGAGTTCGTTAGCTCCTATTACGTTGACTGGCTCACGCTATATGCATTGATTTAGAAAGGTTGAAAGAATTGGAAACATCTACAAATTTTAAAAGATCGCAGAGAAGTCAATAATAGAAGACAAAATTATTTAACTTTGTTACACACACAGATTTAAGTATTCTTTAGTCTTTGACGGTGGTAGTGCGATGTTTTACAACAACGAGGCAGCGTACAAGCTTCGGCCGTCGTAAAAGTAAGCCTTCATGTTGTCGTAAATAAAGCTACTTTATGTGTTTCAAACGACTCTACGATTACCGTTCTCTGATTGAAACCCACGCCGCGCCGTTAACTCTAATTACTTCCTTCACAAAAAGATTGCTAATTAGATATCAGCTTTTCTATGAATGAACTGGCTGTTTCCCACTTACATTAAATTTCTGTGACATATGAAAATCGAAGATCGAATTTCGGGGATCGTGCCAGCACTTGCAGATTGCAAATCAAGGGATTGACGACCGACGCTTTTGTCTGACTATATTCTATGGCTGTTCCAAATTTCATCGAGATCCGGAGTTACGTAGTGGTTAAGCATCCATAGATCCGTCCAAACTTTCGCATTTATAATTCAACTATAGCTGTCACCCGCAATTCCATCCACGCTGAATTAAAAAGAAAATTGGACATGCGTCGACGATCTTCAAATATTCATTCACTCGAGTCACGTTCTGTTCATATTAAATACATCTTATATTAACTTAACTTATTTATTATATATAAATTAATATAATTTCAATTTATTTCTATATGTGTTGTTTTCTATTGCAAAACTCCTATTTTATACTAGAAAAAATAAAATATTTTTTCATTGGAATTTTATTGTATTTCAAACGCCATCCAAAAAAATTATTAAACTGAAGAGCCACTAAATTGTTTTAGCAATATTATCTGGTAGAATAACTCCTGCCATTATTATAATAATAATCTTTAATACATTTACAATATAGAGATCCAAATTGTAGCAAAAATAATGTTACTTATACCTTTCTGAATTTACGCGTTCATCGCCGCGTTTTCCACTACTTTATAACAGATGGCGCTATGAAAATCTTTTTTTATTCCCGATCTCGATGTTGAGTATCTCGTCTCGTGTATACACATCCCGGCGGTGAAAAACGTTCGGCACTTTGGCTTGTAATAAAACTAAAAAGAGACTATTTTTGCAACACCGGTATTCGTTATACTGCGAAAACACCGGTGATAATCGTGATGAGTTCTGCGTGGCAGACAATCTGGTAATGGGCTGTAGTCCCGTAGCCATTTAGTTTGTCTATTGTTTATTGGTTCGACAAGAGAGATGCAGTCGATTTCTTTTGATGATTCACTTCAAATTGAAATCAAAGTGCAGATGATTTTGTCGTGTAACCTTTTATATTCCCTCAAGTGTAAATTTTAAAAATAAAATTTTATAAATTATTTGCTAAGTGTCACCCCTTGTCCTAATTATTATAATAAATTTTATTATATTAAATGGTTTAAATAATTCTGTTATGTGCCAGCCAGCACCGTATATTATTTAATGCTGATTGTTTGATTGTTACAGAGTGCGTGTCGAGTACTATGTCAACGAGAATACGTTCAAGGAGCGCTTACAACTCTACTTCATCAAGAATCAACGATCTAGTAAGTAACTAGATAACGCTTTGACATTAACTTTTTAAACAAGTAATCCATGTATTAAAAGACAATGTTGGTGTAGAATGCTTCTGAAAACTTCAATATTCATCGATATAGACTAGATTATGTTTCCCAATATATGCCTTTGTAAAAGAGAATGGTCCGGACAAAGTCACTTCAGTTCTTTGTTAATCAAATTGCATTTCTTTCAAACACAAACTGCTCGTGTCTCGCTCGCTTTCCAAACCGAGCTTTTGATCAATTTTAAGCGCGCTGCGACGAGCTTCAGTAAATGGAATTTACATTTTTTAAATTGTCTCTTTGAAAGGAAACGCTGCAAGGAAAATTTACACTTTTTGCATATCTGACAACACTCTGTTTATGTTAGGAACTAGGAGTAAAAAGTTCTCTAAGAATACTAAAGTACAAAATACTATATTGCTAAATAGTGTTGTCTTGTAAAACCATTTAAATAAGGGAAATACATTAAGCCATCTTTGTAGATAAATAATAAAATAAAGTGCAGTCATAATTCCAGCACGTGTCATAAACAAGGTTAAACAAAGTCCTTCGCCTCCATAAAGAAACGCATTCATAATTAAATAAAAAACAAATTAATTCTTTGGAGTAAATAATGTTTACATGGAAATATTTACATATTTCTAATCTAGAAAATTGTGTCGCGACCGCACCGACTTTATAATTATACTAAATACTGATTGGCGGTTAAATTTAGTTTAAATTTTTTTTTCTGTTGCCGGCAAATTGTGTGCGCTGCCTTTTTTTAATTTACCTTTGCAAAGTTCGACAAAACTCTGCAGTTCGAAGCATATGAAAATTCACCTTTACGAAGTGTCGAAATCTTTAAATGAATTCTTTGAATATGCAATTTGACCGGGGCAAATAACAAACGTTCTGTGTACACTATCTGCCGATGACAAACGTGTATTTCTAACTATAGTTTGAATGTGGTATTCGCGCGGTCGCGGTTGTCCGGCGTAATGGATGTTATCTATGCTTCAGTGACACACTAGCCTTAGCATTGACCAACCTAATTAATTTTCTTCATTACGCTAAAAGCATTTATTGACCTTGAATCATTTATTATTGTCGTGTTAAAATTTATTGTACTTTATTTAAACCTACTGCTCTAGTTAAAACATGTTTCTAAAGAAAATCGAGTACATCGTACAAGTCCTAGAAAGGTATAGGCAGATATTGTAAACATAATATGTTGCTTGATGATGTTGATGTTGCGCGGAGTCTCCTACCTTTGATTAACTTGCATTATATGCAAAAGATTTTGTGTAAACACTGCTTTATATTATTGATATTCTTTTTCAGGTCTTCGCATAAGAATTGCGAATTTGGTGTTCAAACTGCTGGCATGCCTTTTGTACATCATACGCGTTTGTGCGGACGGCGACCCGATCACCGCATCCTGGTATGTTTATATATTTATTAGTAGTCTTCATTCAACTTTTTTAAAAGATGGTGCGTTATTTTTGTGCATTTATTAGTCATTTTAAAACACGGTTTAGTGTAGGCTATACATTTTAATGAAAAATTAAATCTTTATCAACAGTTACGGCTGCAAGCCTGGCAATAAGACCGAGTTTGAATACTCTGCCAACTTGACCGAGGAAGAGTTCCAGGAGCACCCTATCATCAACTGGGACGGCATTATCTGGGTGAACCGCTCGCTCTGTCTCTGGATCGTCCAGGTTATCCTGGCTATGATATCCTTTTCGGAGGCTATTCTTCTCGTCTATTTGGGCTACAAGGTGAGTAGTTTTTGTGTATGTTGTTTTTCTTTATGTCTATATGATTGTGACATCTTCGACTCGACTTAGACGAGAGAGGTGTCATTCGCTTCGTATTTTTCCACAACGTGTCATAGTATGTATAGTTTGTTTTACGGTTTCTTAATTATCAAATGAGAATGAGAGTGATGATATCTATAATCTTGTATAATTAATATGACATGTTTTTTTATTAAAGGGCAACATCTGGCAGCAAATCCTGTCGTTCCACTTCATACTGGAAATGGTGAATACGATCCCCTTCGCGCTCACTGTAAGTATTCATGGATCATAATATAACTAGAAAGAGCAAGAGCAAGAGAGAGAGAGAGAAGGAGGAAAGTATTATGCTGGACTAAAAAAGAGATGCAATTATATTAATATTAAAGATTGCATACTATAATTTTTATATTATTACCTCATTTTTTATCTGTTTTCAGTTGCTGTTCCCGCCGCTACGTAACCTCTTCATCCCGGTATTCCTGAACTGCTGGCTCGCCAAGAGATCTCTAGAGAATATGTTTGTAAGTATTTACTTATCCACACTTTGTCAATCTATTTGTGAAGAAGTAGCACTAGGTGATTAGTTGTTTGCATGTTTTATTTTAGAAACTTTTCGAGGTATTATATGGCTAAGATGATTGTCTTAACACATATTCTGTAATGATTCCAGAACGACCTTCACCGCGCAATGCAGAAATCTCAGTCGGCGCTTTCCCAGCAGCTGATGATATTGTGCGTGACGCTGCTTTGCCTCGTCTTTACCAGGTGATGTTCATTCTCTTCTGGACTCATTGATAACATTGCTGAGTACTGTATCTTATCTACGAGCATCACAAAACATTACACACGAATATAGGCAAATAAAAAACTATTCGTTGACGACATTTTATATAGATTTATTTTTAAGTAAGTCAGTATACAAGTATGGTTCAAGAGTTTCCACTAGAATGCGTTTAGTGAATGAAAAATGAAATAAAAATGAAACAAAATTATTCTCCGACTTCTTCCCCTCACTTGTTACGCTTTGTGTTCCGGCAAAATGAGCAAGCTAACGTAATTTTAAGTAGCAATATGGTAATGTATAGTAAATTTATTTTCCAAACTCCATTTCGAGTAATTTCGCCTTTTATCTTTCAGGCTCTTGACTTTGTTTTCGCTTTTATCAAATTACGATATAATTCGGGCATCGAAAATCTTATTATAACTTCAGAAAGTAACAGAGTAAGGGATTATATTTTGGCTTACACTTATGAAAGACATTTATAAGACAGTTTTTTTTAAATTCCTCTATATTATTCAAATGTGCATCAAGGATAGGTTTTGTTAGATGAACATATTTACTTGTAGTGTTATTGTAACTAAGTCTTATGTATTGGCATAATATATTACAGTGTTTGCGGCATCCAGCACTTCCAAAGAGCGGGCCATCGCCATCTCAACCTGTTCCAAGCCACGTACTTCGTGGTGGTGACCTTTTCAACCGTTGGTTATGGTGATTTCGTGCCTGACATTTGGCCATCGCAGCTGTATATGGTCATCATGATAGGTGTAGCACTTGTCGTCTTGCCTACACAGGTAAATAAATATCTGATAGATAATTTGAAATATCAAATTTAATGGCGGGTCAAACCTCTACGCGAGTTTACCTGTACTGAAACAAAATGAATGAAATGAAAAATAGATGCGCGTGCGCACCACGAGTCACCATAAATTTTGAATCTTTTACAATAATTTTCTATTAGCATAGAGTAATAATTTAAAGAAGATGTGACTTTTTTTAAACATATGTTACATTTATCTAGTTCAAACCCTTAGTTTTTTTTTAATTGATGAAAAATGAAAGAAGAAGTATTAACAATGTTTGGTATGATAAGTAGAAAAGTAATGTTTTGTTATTATTTATTGTTATACTAGAAATAATATTGAAACTATTGAAAGCTATGCTTGCATGATTATCTCAGTAATTTATAGCAATTAATATTATATGAGTTCAAATGTGAAGGCACCTGATAATATGAACTAGAAATAAGGTATACATTTTTTAGTCAAATTATAGAAATTATGATCAGAGCCACAATGATATAAATGTACGCGTGGAAATAGTGTTGTAGTGTTACTGAAAGGAATTGCAAGAATGCGTGTCAATTTTAGCAAGGCCCGTGGCTTCTTGTATTATGCACGATAATTATAATTTTATTTTTATAAACAAATATAATAAAAAAACAATAACACAAAATTGTATTGTGAAACTAAATGTACAAAGTGTGCCAGGGCCGTGCTAAATGGAATTCTATGAGCTCTGCCTATCCCTCTGGGTCGGTCCGATCTGGGGTGAGTGCTTTAATTTTATGGTTTTACCTTTATTTGCTTGTAGATTTAGAAATTAAATTGATTTCTATGTTTTGTACATAACTATATAAGTTAATATTATTCTAAATTGTTCTCGATTACTTCTAATATTGATGTATGTTTGTAGTTTAGCGTTAGGATGTGATTGTAATATAATCATTTTATCATTTACAACCAATTGTGTAGATTTCTCTCACTAAATCTACACTAACTACACTCAAACTCTGTGGGTGCCAATGTTATAATTACTGAATACGTAGAAAGTCGATTAGAATATAATCGGAATGTTTTAGATGTTTATCGTAACTTTTCAGTTCGAGCAACTGGCGTTCACGTGGATGGAGCGACAGAAACTTGGGGGTTCGTATTCTTCGCACCGCGCGCAATCTGAGAAGCACGTGGTCGTCTGTTCCACCACTCTGCATGCGGACACCATCATGGACTTCCTCAACGAGTTCTACGCCCACCCTCTGCTACAGGACTACTATGTTGTTCTGCTCTCGCCCATGGAACTAGACACCACCATGCGCATGATTCTACAAGTAATAAACATTTCATATGTAGTATTTCTCTGCTTCATTAGTAATACTCGAAGCGTTGTATTTTTTCTGCAAATATTACTTAAACCTAAGTTTGATCATTTTATTAAAAAAAAAAGTTTCATGAAAAACTATAAAGTATTGCAACAGAAAATAGATAATGATAAAAAGAATCATCTCAGTGTTCAAAATCTATCAACAAGTTCTGTTTGAAGAAATAAGTATGAGTTTTTATCTAATTTCAGGTGCCGATCTGGGCTCAGCGTGTGATCTATATCCAGGGCTCGTGCCTGAAAGACACCGATCTGATCCGTGCACGCATGAACGAGGCTGAGGCTTGCTTCGTGCTCGCGGCACGCAACTACGCCGACAAGACCGCGGCTGACGAACATACCATACTCAGGTAACTCATACGTTAAGAACAAAGGTGGACATTAACTCGTTAATCCGTTAATCGTTGATTATCGAAGTTAATATTTTTGGTAACGGATTAACTTTTAAATTAACTTCAAAAACTGTTAACGCTTTTATTAACTTCCGTTAAGTTAATTGTTAACATTAAATTACGTGCCACGCCACGTTCGCAAGTTCAGCTGTGTTCGGCGACTGCCGGCATGTCTATGCTGAACGAACGAGTTGATAATTCATGTTTGCGAAGTAGGCGAGCAAGTGTGATGCATATTACACAAATCGTCCGAGAAAGACGCGAACGAAACGAAATCAACAGGGAGTTCGAAAACATTTAAATGCATTTAAACTTTTACACTTTCTCCAATGTGTGAGATGCAAATGCCATTATCATGGCCAGACTCCGGGTTCAATTGGAATCAAAATAATGTAGTGTCCATCACACTACCATGTGATACCTAAAATACAATCAAACTTGTTGACAATAAAAAGTATATTAACATTTTTTGCATGTATCAAAAACGAACATGAAAAAATAAATTGAATAATACAAAAGACTTAACATATGCATTTAATGTATATCCCTTAAACACAATAGGGAATCAGATTTGTCTATTTATTATTGACGTTTAAATGTTGATTTATGTGCTCATAAACAGTTTACGATACATAATTTTATATTTAAAAAAAACGAAAAAACTACTATACGATCCATGGCACCGCGTGCGCAATAGTGATATCAATATATTAATAGCCCTTTAAAATGATCTTGGATGCGCGCGCGCACGTAAAGACATTCTTGATTTGTTTACTAACTAATCGTATAACATAGAACGAGACAGAATGAGGAATTAAAAAATGTGTGTTTAATTTTTGTTTCTAATTGTTTCGCCTGTTTCTCTTAGTCCGAAAGTAGTATGAGTTTCATACGTTAATGAGTAACGAAGTTAATTTTTTAATTAACGATTAACGAAGTAAACTTTGGTTTACTCGTAACAGTGCCCATCTGTGGTTAAGAATAATATCAAATGAACACTGAGTTCAATGATTCTTGTGCGTCTACAGGCACTAAGGGATAAGTATGCTAAGTATAGCAGTTTCTATAGCAGACTATATCAAAATGTTTTTTCCAGATCGTGGGCGGTGAAAGACTTTGCACCGGACGTGCCTCAATACGTTCAGATCTTTCGTCCGGAGAACAAACTGCACGTGAAGTTCGCGGAGTTCGTTGTGTGCGAGGACGAGTTCAAGTACGCACTGCTCGCCAACAACTGCACCTGCCCCGGCGCCTCCACGCTCGTCACGCTCCTGCTGCACACCAGCCGTGGACAGTACGTATGCTACTATCACTCCTACAGTCGTACTTTCAGATTTATTGACACGTGATAATACTAACGTTTCAGGGAAGGACAACAATCTCCCGAGGAATGGCACCGCTTGTACGGAAAGTGCTCTGGCAACGAAATATACCACATTGTGCTCGGCGACAGCCGTTTCTTCGGCGAGTACGAGGGCAAGAGCTTTACTTACGCCAGTTTCCATTCCCATAGGAAGTGAGTACTGTTTTAACTTTGCATTTTTGCTCAATGTAGAACTTTATTAACGCAAATATTCTCAAGGTACGGCGTCGCCTTGGTCGGAGTGCGTCCGGCGGAGTTGCCGGAGTTCTACGAGGACACCATCCTGCTGAACCCGGGGCCGCGGCATATCATGAAGAGCAGCGATACCTGCTACTACATGAGCATCACCAAGGAGGAGAACTCCGCGTTTGTTGTGTCTGAGAAGCGAGAGTCCAAGGCCATAATGGCCAAAGACCAGAGCGCGGTGTGTAACGAGAGAAAAGCAGGCAGCGGTAGCGGGGCCGGAGGCGGCAGCGGCGGCGGAAGGCCGGGACGAGACGGTAGTAGCGCTGCACCGTATGAGCTGCCCCAAGTGGTGCTCGAGGGCCCCGCAAGCTCCACGCCAGTACCATCGCCATCCCGCATCAACCCAGCTCACACTGTTTCATCCGCTAATTTTGCCGCTAGCTGTGAGTGTCACAGTTCTATTGATGCTTCATTGTACACGTTACTCGTCGCATTTATCTCGTCACATCTCGCAGAATTGCGATTCCTTTGCACGAGAAATTTAAGCCCACGGTGATATACTCTTGGAGTCCCATACTCCTATTTATCTTGAGAAGAATTTGTCGAAATGACTTAAAACGACCTTGACCAATACTGAAATAATTCGGGATGTCGAGATATTTTCTACGAGAACGTTTTCCTAAGTTGCACTGTATTCAAGTAAAAACCCTACCGGTTACCCAGACCGTATCACATGAAAACATATACGTTTAAGTTAATTGAGTAACCACAGCTAGGCACAGTTAATCCAAAAGTTAACTTCGTTAATCGTTAATTGAGGAATAACTTCGTTGATTGTGAAAGCGTTAAATTCTCGATAATTTAATGCAGGTTAAAGTTACATACAATTATCAACTGGTTCGTTCAAAAATCGACAAGCCGACAGTCACTGAACATAGGCGAATTTACGAGCGTGATATAGCGCGTAGTTTAAACAAAATGACAGCACGTCAACAAGTGCCTAATGTAACAAATAACGGACCAAATTAAAGGAAGTTGAATTTAACGAAAGTTACGAAAACGTTAACACTTTTTGTAGTTAACTTAAAAGTTAACCCGTTAAGCAGAATGTTAACTTCGTTAATTAACGATTGATGGATTAACGAGTTAATCCTTTCGTTATAAAGATACAGTGCAGCTCAAAACATGTTGTTGATATTTATGTACATTCATGAAATATGTTTATAAAAGCCGACTAATGTATTTTTAACAAAAAAAAATTCTAGTGCAGAGCTTCGACCGTGGTCAAGTCGTGCAGTGAGTTTGCTTTCGATTCGCGCAATATCAAATATTTATCATAAATGTTTTAACCCACATCTTAACATTCGAACGCTAATATTTACCATCAAGTAAAGAAGTATTTGCATGCTAAATTTAAATAGGATTGAACCAGTAGTATCGCGAACCTAACATTAAAATCATAAATATCACTCGGTGCAAGGTTTTTACTTTTGATGTCTTCTCGGCCTTACAGTTCTTAACTTTGCGCCTGGTGTTTGGTCATGCGCTACCTCGCTGTAACATTATATTCGTAACTTTTATCTAGTTTACTAACTTTGTAACAATATATGTATGTATTTTCGAGTAGCTCGTCGTTCGTTCTGATGGTTATTATATTAATTTCTAAATGTATAGCGTTAATCTGTGAACGCTCCTCGTCTTTTAAATATGAATCATTAAAATTTAGTTTGTACTTTTACAGACAAGTACGGCGAGGGATCATCGACAGGGGAGTCCCGCAACCACCTCAAGGAGTCCCCCGCGACGGACAGCGCGAGCGACAGCCACCTCCTGCTGCCGCACACCCCGCGACCCGACACCAACTTCCTCAGCCCGGACTCGCTCAACTACCGCAGAGGTGTGACATCATTGACGGTTAAAAATATAAGCCCTCCACCTCGTTCCTAGACGTACCTTCTCTTACACCATAAATTACAGATCTTCTATCAAAGTTCAATTCTTGGCATGACACAATAATCAGTATGTACGTGTATTTTAGTAGTGAAAACTGCTGTACTTTTATTAGATATGGATGCGGGCAGTCGCCGGCCTTCAATCCTGCCGGTACCTGACATGGTGACGTCCAGCTTGCAAATCGCGTCCGACAACCAGGAAGAGGAGGTGGAGGTGGACGAAAGCGAAGACGAGCTCGACGACGACGTGCCCTGGCGCTCGCCCTCCGAGAAGATCGCGTAAGCCATCTCTCATACAAGCCACCTCGCCAACAGCGATCGCCTCACGCGTTCGCACCTATCTCTTTCCCACAGCGTCGGCCCTGGGACACTTAGACTGCGAGCAACAGACCTAAAGTTTCTTTAAAAACTGGTATTCTTTATTCGCATAAAGAAAGAACACCAGGTCCGGCGCTGGTTACACATGCCACCTTTATTTATTTAATTTTTTTTTCATAAATGACAATATCAAAAATGTCCAAATTTAATTTCACGTTTATTACTGGGTTGCGTCACTTTTTGTTCACCTGCATGTCTTAGAATATGTCAATCTACAACACTGACCGTGGGTCGTCATAGGTGACGTTAGTTTTTTTTATTTCTTATTCATTTAATCGGTTTCATAGATCATCGCCCGCATCGGATGCATGCCTACGACACCAAGTATGTTATATTTTTTGCTCAGGTATGTTACGGCGAGTAAAGAAATGAAAATTACACAAATTATGTCTAAAAGTTAAGAATTTACATATAAGGTCCTTCGGGAAGTAATTTTCCTTTTCATGATAGAGGATTAAATCTTATTATAAGAACCCAACTAAAAGCCGCATAATTATATTTTTTTAAAATATAATCAATTTGCTGACGGTCTGTGGGTCAAAACATTTAAATTAATATGCGCAGTACAATTTTTAAAGTATTTTTGAGCAGCACATAAGTCGGCGAGAGGTTAAATGAATCGGATTCAGAATGGCCAATATATAATTTAATGAAATGGTTATTCTGTACTCGTAGTAGTAGTATGTACATTTTCTTTAATTTTCACAAACAAAAAGGAAAGAATTTTTCGAACAACCTATTCTTATGATGTTTTCTTTCCTCGTCAACAATACCGTGAATGTGTTGCTTTTATCCCGCAACTGATCCATCATTTGCTTCCGCTTTATATTAAATAATTACGAATCTGAAACAGCTGCTAAACGGAAATTCACAAATTAACATCATATCGACTTTCTACGCTTTTATTCTATACAATGGCTGCGACAGAATTCATGTACGTATCAATATGAAGTTTTACGTTCGAATACGAAGTGTTAGAGGCGTGCTGTGTAAATGTAATGCAGAATGTACAGAGAGTGCGTGTGCGACTGTGTGCATTGTGTGTCCTCCCGGCTGGTGGCGGCCGCTGAGTCCGGCCACGGCTCGCACCCTGCGCCCCTCAGCGACGACCCCACCAGCAGCTACTCCTCGATGCCCGTCAGCGACCTCTGCAGCGCCTGGCGCGCCGACTTCTCGAGGTGAGACCGTGCTACGACCATAAGGCCCGCCCGCCCCATGCTGGCCACACTGCGGGCCATCGCAAGTCGCCGGATGATAAGCGACCATCGCTCACCATAAAAATCCGCTACGACCAGCATTATAACAGATATGTAAGAACCCAGAAGACACCTAAATTCATCGAACGATACGTAAGAGTAAACCCGATAATACAACAGTCGAATGTTGTCCGCTTTTCACCACCTGATGGTGTGTGTTTGTTTACTTTTAAAAACTTGACAAGAGCTAAAGGATTTAGGATTCATGCAGAAATGCAGAATGTGCTGACTCATAATGCGATTGGTAAATTTGTACGTCAGTCAACATTTTGAACTTGCAGCATTCAGACTCGTTTAATACTTTTTTGTAAATTCTTCTAATATAGTTTTTTCATTGAAAATCTATTAGGCAAGTCTGGGCAATTCATTTGAGGGTAATTCTTGGTTATATGTTGCTTTTGATAATAGAAATAACATACGTAAACGCGTTCTGCGTACGGTTATCTGCTTAAATATGAAAGGTAACGTAAAACCAAATAACGTATAATGTAAAGTCGTTTCCCCTACATAAGTATGTACTTCCATTGCACACAACCTTGTGAAATAGAAACGCATGAAATTCCCCAAAATTTAATGTTGAATGTTAGTCTATCCAGCACTGATTGTCACCACACTGTTTGATTACCTATGGATGTCCTATTTTTACATATAGATAGCTATTTTATTTCTATCCCTTCCACATGTGGTAAATGTTGTAAGTATTTTCTTATATGATACTTTGTTTTCAAATAATGTTTATTGTAATAATTTACTATTTACTAAATAAAGCTTCGCTTTGGCCTTGATTTATTGGCATTAATAACCACTTGACTGTAAACTGACGTTTGCGTTCGATTACAGAATAGTAAAAGGCTTTCCGCCGGTATCGCCGTTCATCGGGGTGAGTCCGACCCTGTGCTACTTGCTGAAGGAGAAGAAGCCACTCTGCTGCCTGCAGCTGGCGCAGGTCTGCGAGCACTGCGCCTACCGCAACGCCAAGGAGTACCAGTGGCAGAACAAGACGATCATCCTCGCCGCGGACTACGCCTCCAATGGCATATACAACTTCATTATACCCCTCAGAGCACATTTCAGGTCCAAAACCTCACTCAATCCGATCATACTGCTGCTCGAGCGTCGTCCGGACATTGCCTTTTTGGATGCCATATCGTACTTCCCTCTCGTCTACTGGATGCTCGGCACTATTGATTGGTAATATAATTATGTATTATGTATACAATTACACTTTTTGATATAATAGCAACGGAAAGGTTCATACATAATATTTGCAACATGTATTTTCAGTTTGGACGACTTGCTCCGCGCGGGGATAACTCTCGCCGAAAACGTTGTGGTGGTCAACAAGGAGCTCTCCAATTCCGCTGAAGAAGACAGCCTCGCCGACTGCAACACCATTGTCGCCGTGCAAACTATGTTCAAGTAAAACATATAAATTGAACCTTTTTATAATTTGTTAATCTGCCAAAAGCGAATTGCGCTGTTACTCTGCTAAAGCGATGTTTTTTATTTTCCTTTTTATACCACAACGCTGGTGCAACTTACATTTATGCAATCTCTCATAATTGGAGATGTTTTCCTTGGAACTAAACAGATTTTTTTTTGTTTTCAGATTCTTCCCATCTATAAAATCAATAACGGAACTTTCTCAATCTTCAAACATGCGCTTCATGCAATTCCGTGCTCATGACAAATATGCTCTGCACCTCTCTAAAATGGAAAAGGTAAAGGTGATGATTATTTATATTTATATCAATATTCATTTAGGTATTGTAACTGCAAGTGATTATTTTAATTACAATTGCTATTTTTTTAAATTTACAGCGTGAGAAAGAGCGCGGATCTCACATCTCGTACATGTTCCGCTTGCCCTTCGCTGCGGGCTCGGTCTTCTCCGCCTCAATGCTGGACACCCTGCTCTACCAGGCCTTCGTTAAAGATTACGTCATTACGTTCGTGCGCCTGCTTTTGGGAGTCGATCAGGCGCCGGGCTCCGGGTTCCTCGCCTCGGTAAGCGACACGTCCACGACACGCCAGCGACGCGACCCACTCTGCTAGCGAATATTTATACCACCTCGTTCCATCTCATCTCATTCTCATCGACCTCGGCTCGAAGCGAACTTTCAAACACGAAGCGAAGCCAGATGCGAAATACATCATACCTAATTTTAAGAAATGTCGTTCAAAATGAATCCTTGTCCTTGTAACAGATGAAAATAACAAAAGAAGACATGTGGATACGTACATACGGCAGACTTTACCAAAAGTTGTGTTCGACCACTTGCGAAATCCCCATTGGGATCTATCGTACCCAGGATACGAGCCTGGCCGAGCCCGGGAACCACGTGAGTATGTCGTCAGGAGCCAAGGCAAAGTGGTTTTGGCCACGCTTCGCGAGAATGCGACCATCGCGCGCATCGGTGAGTTGGACGACTCCTTAAGACGTAATCCAATATGTTCCTCAAATACAGTCCTTCGCCTTCATTTGCTATATGATTCTTCGTAACTCAACAATAACACACACACATTTTATTCCAAATTACAACAACATTATTCCAAATTGTTTAGTCCCAACGCATTGAGCGCTCCCGACCATTGGACTGTATTTCGGGTCGATATTTTATTATTACCTACTTTTTGTATTCTCGTTTCGCGTAAGACTCGCACCACATTTTTATTGTTGTCAATCTGTCTACATGTACTTACTTGTCGAGCCTTCACACCTGTGGTGTGTCTGTAATTAGTTCTGCCATTTGTTCGACATCTATTTCTCTTCCTACACTTCACTTGGTTTGTTATGTAAGGTACACTCGAGCTTTATAATTATTATTTCGTCGCAAGCTGCTGTTGCAAAACTATACTCTGTTCCTTGCTTTTGCGTGGAAGATAAAATGTTTCACGTTTCAACTCGTCTTTAAAATCTTCTATTGAAAAAGAACAGCGCCTTTTACTGTCCCTAATATAAACGATTTCAATAAATCTGTCTGTCTATCTGTCGCAAGTATGTCGATGATCGCAGTCCCGCCTATGTTGTCGAGTAGTGCCAGTGATGCATGTTGTGTTCTAGCAGCTTACCACCGCGCCTTACGATAAGCTATTAATTATACATAAACAAGAAAACCAAAGTCATCGTGTTTTGTGATACGGCCTACAGTTACTAGCCCACTTTTTGCTGACAGTAATGACCGGTAATATTTAGCTGATAGTATGCGATAGTTAGCGGTGATCTACTGTCATCACAAACACTGATGTCGTAACAAATGCTAATGCTTGTTTATACAATTTTTAGTTTATCGTAAGAGGATCTGTAGATGTCAATCAAAGCAGCTTATAAATCAGAATCACGCACTCCAAGTCCGCCATTCAACGAAATAACTGGGCCCTTCTTACTTCAATATTACTTCAGTATTAAAATAACTAATTATATGTATAACATGTATTGCAAAGAGTTTACATAACCAAGACTAAGAGGCGTCTAAAAAGGTTAACAATACATTAAAATTAGGCGATACTCGTAACGTTTTTGTGTTACCAAGCAAAATAGCTTGAAAACAACCCAATAAAATTATCACAAAACAAAAAGCAGAAAAATCTAGCTTACTATTTGAGTCGTGCTTGATGTCTTGAACTGTTGAATGAAGTAAAAGTGAAAGGCGATTCGCTTGTGTTGAGTTGTTAGTGAGGATTAGGGCTCGAGTTGTTGTCGGTGGCGTGGTGTTGTGGTGTGACCTACAAGTTACAGCAGGAGGCGGCCGGTGACGGCGCGGGGGCGGAGGGGGCCGAGGGGGCCGGAGAGTCCACCGGATGCCTGGGGGCCTGCTACGGCGAGACCACGCCCGCGGTAAGGACCCCACACCTGAGCCCTAATCCGATCCCTGAGGTATGGTCGGCATTACGGTTACCGACCTGATGCAGACTGAACAGTAACGAGCGATCCCCAAAATTCCTATATTTCGAATTGTTTTTTGATTAATTTCAATTTTTGGCTCCTATATCAGCTTTCAGTTAACTCGGTAAGGTAAATATAACACAGTGTAATAAATAATTTCAACTAAAACTGGAAGCTCAATATCCATCTAATAATTAGAGACAACATAACATATAAATAATAATAAACAAAAATGCATAATTAGTTTAGATTTAGATTTTAGCTGTAGATTTAAAGTAATCAATATCTTATGTAACCAAAATATATTGGAATTTAAATAAATATTAGAAATCAACGTAGTAACCGCTCTTTAGATATAACTATAGTAATCTATATTAATTTAAATGATAATTAAAAAAAAACTCATTTGATTATTATCCATGGAATAATTAAACCATATTTTAACCATTCTTGTTCAAATATGCATGCAAATTGCCAACACAACGACATGCATTCATTGTGAAATACCTCATGAAGTCAAAAGATATCACAAAGCAATACAGACTCCTCTAAGCGTAGAAGCGTTATTGTTAAAACGTTTGTTGTACAGCACTGCACTGCCCAGTCATTGAACATTTGTATTGTCTCGTGACATCATCATTACATATTACACAAATCATTTGTTATTTCACTCGTTATTCTCTAAGCCGCCACTAAAAGTAATTATAGCAATACAACTAGAACTTACATATTTATTAAGTACGTAAAGTATTTCAAACATTTACATTTTACAGTACTCTACAAGTTTGGCCGACGAGGCCCGCGACAATCATATTCAACAAATTGAAAGAGCTGAAATAGCTAATCTGGTCCGCTCTCGTATGGAGTCCTTGAACCTGACCGGGATCGACTACGATGACGTCAGTGAAAAGAGGAACAGCCTGTCTTATGTAATCATCAACCCGAGCTGCGACCTCAATCTGCAAGAAGGCGACATTATGTATGTATCTCAATCATTGACCGCGCGATGATGCCGTCGTCATGTGTATTATGCACGTAAAATATTATAAATTCTTTTTTAGATATCTGGTTCGCCCGTCTCCATTCTCCGCTCAGAAGACCTTCGAGCGCCACAACAGCCGTCGCAAATCCAACATAAGCTTCTGCTCGCAAGCGCTGATCCAAGCGCAGCCGTCTAGCCGTCGTGGGTCGACGCTCGGCGCATCATACCCTCAGCCGCGCGCGCCGCCGCTCGCTACCACCAAGGCCAACTCGCTGTCGCTGCCCGACAGCCCGACCATCGTGACTGACTTCCGCGGCCGCTCCAACTCGCTGCGCGTCGCCGACGACGTGCTCCTGCGCCGCTCCAGTTCGCTGCGCCAGGGCCTCGCGGTGGCGGCGGCCGGAGGCACCGGCGGGCGCAGAAAGAGCAGCCTCGAGGAGATCGGCATCTCGCACTTCAACTCGCTGCTGCAGCACCAGCAGCGGCAGCGGCGGCAGGACGCCTTAGTGGGGGGCGGGCGCTATCTGGAGGTGGCACCGCCATCGGAGGGCCCTGGGGAGCGCGCCGCAGCCGCGTACCCGCTTCTGCCCTATCAGGACGTAGCGGCTGCGCTGCCCACTGGCTCGGTCACGTCTGCCCTGCCACCGCCCTCCCCTTCACCCTCACCCACGCCCACGCCCGACGCCCAACACTTGCAGGGCACCATCGTGTGATACAATCTTATGTGGGGACGTCGCTTCAGCTCCTTTCGCCGGAACAATAAGACCTAAGCCGTTTACGAGGAACCTGAACGTCTAATTAAATAAATGAATATTATAAAAGTATTGATAAAGTAGAAGAAAGCTGTTAAATAATGTATTTCTACAAGTATCTATCTACGTGACATAAGTGCACGGTCCTGTAATCGGGATGTTGTGTCTTAGCCTATCCTAGCTTTACTTTTACTATTGTATACCTGTCTGTTTATGTACGGAGCTATGGTACTCGTATTCTGGACTCGGGCGCGACGTGCACTGCTATCGGCGAGCTGTTTATCGTCAGAGGGATCAACTAGTTATTATGAACCGAGGTATTAACAAGGGCATAAGGCAAGTGTACATAGCAGGCCCACATTCTTCCTTGATTTGACATCTGTATATAATCTAACTTCAACTTCTTCACAAAATGTGTTATACTCATTTATTCTAAGTCTAACTATATTAGCAAAATATATTCACATTTTATCATTACATATTATGTAGATGTTATTAATCATAAAGTAGCGGTAGAAGTCGATAATGTTTTATTCAATTTTAATGTTCAAGTTCATTGTTCGAGTTAATATCTTATTGGTAATAGATTGAGTAGACTACGTAATAATTATAAAATGCATACTCTTATTAAATGCGACCCTTAGTGTCTGTCAGTAGATGTGTCGAGCGCACTGTACTCCTTTATTATTAACTACATATATCAAAATAATCCTCGTAATAAAGTTCACGTACTCAATATAATGATGTTTTATTTCCATCTCCTCGTTACCTCCAACTGTCGTACCACAAAATATTAGTTAATTTTGCTGCAATAACCTAAATAATATATTATCAATATTTATTTTTACTTCAAAAACATTAGATTAAAAAATATTAACTAAAAATAAGTTGTAGTACATTTGTTGTAATACAACTCTTTCTGCTGTGGAATTTCTTTCTTGATGCTACGACAAAGAAGGTCAGATATAACCTCTTTTGAAGTTACATTTATGAAGTAGTTACATACTCTTTGTTGTATTTTCAAATGAAGCCATTTAATTTTAAAACGAATAATTCCAATTTTAAAAATTTGAAATGTTTTTTCTTTTTATAAAAGTGATCCAACAAAGAATTTCAGGAAAATTTTATATCTTATTAAATCAAATTAGAAAAATAAACGATTGAAACTATATATCATGCAACATAAGAAATGGAGAAGAAAAAAAGCGCTGTACAAATCAGCTTACTATCTTCTATTACAGCAGTTACCGCTGTTGGAGAAGCAAAGCTGTATATTAAAGCCAGGTCAGTATGTTATAGTTTGCGTTAAACATGCAATGAACATGTCGGAAACAATTCGTACTTACTAACGTTATTGTTGTAGTTTTGTTTGTTATAAATTTTCAATTCATTATTAATACTCATAGACAAAATAGCTTCAATATGCAAAAAAGCAGACGGAAAAATTTCTTTGCAGTTATAAATGATATGAAAATGAAAAAGTCTTTATCGTTATACACAAAAAAAAATAAAAACAAAATTCAATGTTGCCTTGGCTCCTTAACTAGGAAGACTTAAGGAGCAAATTTATTTATTCGATTTGATATTTCCGTATCTTTAGTAAGTGGAATTTTTAAGTATGAAAATGTTTTTAGGTTATTAAATGGAAGTGTCAAAGGTTTGGTGCTGAACATGGCTGAGGTTTGAAGTACTCTGCGAGGGCGATCATCGCATCGAGATGTTTCATTAAACTAAGTTAGTCTCGTAAGCATATATTTCTATAATAAAGCCTAGCGTCAGCGTTGTTATATAATTAGCGCAGCAACCACGAACAATAAATACTGTTTCGTATTTTCTACATTTCTGCATGAAATTATCCAGCGAGTTGAAAGCATTTGTTTTAACTTTTTTTTTGTTTTACTACTAAACTTAGCAAATCTTTTCAGAAGGTTTTGAGTTTTGATTGAACTCAAATTTATTTTTAATTACATTATGCTTATGTTGGAGGTAGGTTTGAATGTAAACACATTTTTCACTTAATTTATTTAATATTATTTCCTACTTCATTACATTGTCGTCATAGTCTCTAGTTTACTTTGAAAGCTTCAAAGAATAATGAAAAGGATCCTACTTTTTTGTAGAAATATTTTTAAGAAATGAAGTTACATTCTCATCTATTTACGTCTGTTAGGCAGATATGAATTTTCCAATTTCCAACAGTTTTTTTTTCTTATAGACAGCAAGTCTATAATTTTCCTCATTTAAAATAGGAAATGTAATAGGTCTATTACTGCCATCGGCTCCGCAGTCGTATATGGGATAGTGTGATTCCTTTTGTTAAATTATTTAAAATTGTAAAACAAAAAAGAAAATGGTTTTAAATCATGCTATGAGCTAACATCATGCTTGTGTCGTAATTATTGTTACCTATTTACTGCATGCTGTGGTATGATTCAAAATCTTTACAAAGAAATTAAATAAAAGTTCAGTTTATATGTAGAACGCTAACCTTAAACAAATATGAATTCAGTAATCTGGTGCATGTACATGTATGGAGAAGTCGGACATATCGAGATTTTCAACGGTTTCCGTGCTGTCCTCCGAGGCCCAATTGTCAAAGACGCGTCCAGGGTAGTGGTAGTGTTTGGCAAAGGAGGGTAAGACGTATCTCTGGAACCTTCTGAACTGCTTTTTCTCGCGATCGAACTCCCACACGTGGGGCAGGAACCACTGCAACCACTCTGGGACCCACCGATCCTGGTACGAGTAGCGTTTCCTCCATACGCGGTGCGTGTCTATGTAGTTGTAGCCGCTGCCTTCGAGCCATTTCGGGTATCTGACAACATTTGTGTCAAATTCAATCTCTACAAGAACACACAATGGCTTCGCCCTCGAGGGTTCAACTTGAGCCTACCCCATTTTTATATCTCAGCTCTTGTCGAGTACACAAGGTCGGGAAACAGCACCCCAATTCATAATTCCTTTTTTATTTATTTCATTTAAAGTATGACAACAAGAAGTTTCACCCTAAACGTTGGGTGCTCTAGAATGTGATACATATAGCACAACACGTATTTATTTTTTAAATCAGACACGTTTCGAGTTTATGTTTAGATATTCAATCATTAATAACGACGGAAAATGTGAGGATGGAAAGAGCGGTTGAATTAGGATGAATTTTGGAATTTATATAATAAAATTAAAGGCCAAAATGAAAATATAAAATAGAATTATGAAAATAAAGAGATAAGCACGCACTGTTAGAGAATATATTTACAACTAATATAAATAACAGAGACAAAAAGGAAGGAAAATATATAAAGTTCCAAATACAAAAATATAAAAATTATGATTAAAAAACGTGTAAAGAGGTTCCGTATTTGTCGGCAACAATAATAATATAAACTTATGAGCACTTATATCATGTTCATCGTATACTTACAAAGAGAGATGTCTCAAGCCCCATCTGTAGGCCGTGGTGTAGAACCAAGCTTTGAAGGGGTTGAGGTGGGGGTATTTCTCCCAGGCAGCTTGTCCATGTGCGAGGGCCACTACCGTCACCCCCAATTGGTATCCGGTGATGAGTACGGCACGCCCACTCCTAATCTCGCCTACGGTGGGCTTCTGAACTCCCCCCAAGATCGGTTTGCGTATCTTAGCTGGTTACAAATTGAATAAAATTATTTTACAATAAGGAAAATCAATTTGAGTAGATATCAGATTGTAAAGAACTAAACATGAACTGTCATGCCACTAAAGGCTTCATTTACAATTCTTTATTTGAAATTAAATACGAACAAAATACTACGATAATCAAACCATACAGGTTTATAAACCACCTGCTTTATAAATATTTATAAAGCAGAATGCAATGAATAAGAAAATAAGAATTCAGGTACATTCATAATACATACGTGTTGTTGGAATTGACAGATCCAGACCCAATCTCGGTTTCCAGAAAAAGGTTCCCGGAGGCGGCGCCTGAAATATGACATAAATCCTCTTTAGAATTTCTTTCAATTGCAAATTTAAAATATAAGGGTATTTTTTTAATTTCGTTAAAAGAACGCTAAACTACGACATAATCTCTTAAGCGAAACAGTAAAAGAATTACTCTCACGGACATTATTATTAGGTTTCTTGCGGCGGTGGGAATGTATTTTTATTATGTTATAGTCATATCCTCTATCCGTTAAACCTACATATATTATAATTTAGTTTCTAGAAGGGACTTCTTTATAGACCAGGATGGTGTTAGGATTTTTTATTAAATGTTAAATATAAGGGTACATACCTTCACAATTGCTATTATTGTAGAGAAAATTATTAATTTGACGGTGCCGTCCATCTTGGAGACGACACATTTGCGCTCGACCCTGTTATGTATAAAGCTATGGTCGGTTGGAACTGGCTCTTTATAAAAGATGCAAATCGAAATGGAGATGAGTGACGTAGGGGAACATCCGTCGCGCGCCCCGTGTTGTGCATTCCCAAACAGCAAAACAAAGCTTGTTTTGTACTCAACAATGTGTTCTCAGATCTAAGTCGTGGTTTAAATACGTCATTGATACAAATAAGTACTTTTCAGATGCAAATGTATGCTGCGAAATGTAATCGAAGGGAAGCAGACGTTTCCCCTTTGTTAATGTAGCAGTAAGCTTTAACGTACAGCTGTACCAAAAAAAATCGCACTTGGTAACTTTCACATTCGTTTGTAAATAACCTTGATCAATTGCTTAGAATTTCTGCAGTAAACACTTCTCATCATAAAATTCTTTACATAATTTTGTTTTTCAAGTAAGTATTTTCTGTTTGTGTTCTTCGAAAAATTCTCAAGTTTTAAACCATATTTTTCTTATTTTTTTCATGATTCTTATCTGTGAGCGCATTAGAGGTGAAAATTGAGCATTTCTGTTGTCGGGGAAGTTTTTGCTACCCCCTAACAGATGGCGCTTAAACGAGACCGTGTTTTATTGAATAACGGTATTGAGTTTATTTTCACCGCCTATATAATCGCCGGATTAACGTTGACTCGGTTTTTACTAAATTGGTAAATGTTCCGTTTGGTCGGCTCTCGTTCGTTGTTCTTATTGTTTGAATTAGTAAAAAATAAAAATCAAGTAATCGTTCGGTCGTCGTTTAGATGTAGACTCGTTCAAATTTTGAACAGAATTGCGATTGCGTAGAAAATATTCAATAGGTTGGTTGGTATTTGGTTAAAACCAGTACAGACGACGGAAAGTAAGGAGGAATGAAAAGAGCGGTTGGATTTACATAAATTTTGGAAAATGATACAATAAAGTTAAAAGAGAAAATGAAAATTTTATAAGATAGAGTAAGGAAAAAAGATTAGCACGCACTGTTTGTTTGATGATATATTTACAACTACTATTTTTCAATAGAAAAAAGGAAGAAATAATACATAATGTTCTAAATATAAATATAAAAAATAAAAGGAAGTATGAAAAGGTTCCATATGTGTCGGCAACAGTCAAACATATTTCAATATTTTCTCCAAAGTATGTTACTTTGAGGAAAAGATTGAAAAGCTAACAATTTTCATTATTTGAACGAGATTGGTGTTAGTAGGATTAGACAGTCATCTTACTATTATATCGTTTGGAACTTACAGGTCAAAGAAAGTCATTGTAAAGTCTGTCGCTTGGTAAATTGAATAAAATGAAATAAAGAGACGAACAGTTTGGCTCGGTACATATCACGTAAATAGCTATGAAGAACTGTGGTAAAATATAGCGCCATCTAGGTTATGTACATATCTATTCCAAAGATAGTGTTGCGCCATCTTTTGAGATTAAAATATATTTAAAGACCTTACATTTGAAAATGCTTTCTGTGGTGTGGTTTGTTAAATAGACGAACGGAGACCATGTACCAAAATCCCAGCTTGGACTTCCCTACTATTTTTAAAACGTCTACTTGATATTGACTCTATTATAAGACCCAAAGAAGTTCGCTATTTGTGTTGTTGCAACATTTCCTTTGCCTCCGGTGTCTTCAGAATTTTACGAGTCGTATTCATTTTTACGTGGTTTTTAATTTCGTTATAGTTTTGTACTATTTTTTTGAATATATTGCCTTAGATTTGTGTTTTTCGCTGGTCGCATTTAAAGTAAATTCGTTGATCGGCTAATGAGACATCGTGATTGGGCTGCTTTGGGTTTAAAAGGCGACTATTATGTATGCGGATTTTAATGCCTTGCTTTCCTGGTTGGTTCCGTCTTACCCAGTCAATGTTTTCGTTGCTTCCCTGGCTTACAAACTTTTTCTTTAATTATAACTTATTCATTCAATGTAACATATTAAAAATAAGGTTAATTTATTTTTAATATGTTACATTTCATATAAAAAATTATACAAAATATAATATATTAAAAATAGAGCACCACCGACTACAGAGTCCCATGACTCAAACAACCAGTGGTCAGTTCTCACAATGCGTGCGGTTTGTAGGATAACTGCCTTTTGTGTCGGGCCCTTAAACCAACTATTTAGCGAGAGCTTCTTGAGATGTTGGTCGAAACTCTTCGCTATCAGTCCATTCACCGATACGACTATCTGAATATGGGAATCGATTTCATACGCCACATGGCGGTAACCTCGTGAGCCAAATCTAGGTATTTTAACAATTTTTACTTTTCAGCTTTCGCGAGATTCTCGTCATGTGGAAAAGTGACATCGACTAACATTACACAACTGTCAAACCGGTTTATTACTACTACTCGTGTATCGGGCCTATTGGCAGCAATAGTCCTATCCGTAATGATAGATCGATCCCAGTAGAGCGTGATATCGCTATTTTCCAGAACGGGTGAAGGTTGGTACTGGTAATACGGTACCTCAGCATCCACAAGGGCATATTTAAGGGCAAACTGCTGATGGATGATCTTGGCCACTTGGTTGTGTCTATGCAAGTATGCACCGTCCGCAAGCCGAGAACAGCCGGAAACGATATGTCTAATGGACTCACCGGGACGACGACGACAGGCCCGACAAATATCAATCGTACCATCCTTTAGGATATGTTTTCGGTAGTTGTTCGTTAAAATTACTTCGTCCATAATTGCAAAGACAAAACCTTTAGTTTCCCCAAAGAAGTTGCTGAAGCGCAGCCAAGCCACGGAGGATAATTGGTCCACATCAGGCCCAGTTAAGGCTCGATGGAACCTGCCGTGTAGCTCCTTGCTCTTCCATACGCTAATGCGTTCTGAGACACTTAGTACCGGTAGCCTTCACCAATTTGTGGAGGCGAAGGAAAGCGGCGTAACTCCTTTGTCCTTTGCTGCAACATCCTGATACATTCCCACGTTCACCTTAAGGAAGTATTCCCTAAGGTTGTATACCTCGCGGTTGTGCAGGGTCTTGGCATTTAAATAGCCTCGACACCCATGTTTCCGCGGGATGATGCATCCCGTATGCTGTCAGCAAAACGAACTTTTCTATCCAAGGCATCTAGTTCTGTTTGCGATCTCAGTATGCCAAAATAGTAGGTTAAGACTGGCATGGCCCAGCTGTTAAAAGCACGGCACTTGTTTCCACGCGATAAGACTTAAAATTATGTGGCATTGTTTTAAAGCTGACAATTTTGGAGTTAGGTAAGGATATGACAGTGGTGTATGGTCACACTTTATCTATCAACAGAAAATACCATAAATTTAAAATGTACAAAATGTATGGTATTTTTTTATATTTGCGTTATTTTTGTATTCTTTCTTTGTCTGCTTCGTTTTACATACAAAATCAAAAAAATATAGACCAATGCCACTTCATTGGTAATCTAAACTTGAGTGACATATATATATATATATATATAATTTTTTTCACGTTTGTTGTAATGTTGCACCAATAGATCGTATACGCTGTAATTTGTGTACAAACGTTGGAAAAAGGTTCATGTAAATGTTATGATATAGAGAGTGTTTGCAATAAAACTCGCGGTATATTTGGTTATCATATATTTGTAATTCATAGAAGATTGACTCGTTTGTCCGTATTTATGACAAAGTTCGTTCGTTCACAGAAACGTCGTCGAAGAGCAGTATAGTATAGTATACTAGTAGACATTGACATGTTGAAGTTAAATGCTTTCATCTTAATACTAAATGCACGTGACGTGCCGTCTCTTACATACTAGAAATGTTATTAAACTTTATAATAATAGTTATTAAAAATGTCTAAAAACTGTAAATATTGTATAGTTGGCCAGAATATTGACATAAATTTAAAAACAGAAACAATACAGGGCAAGAAAGTTTTGTTAAAAAATAATGTAGGTTACATTCAAAAAATAATTTCTAAGTCAGACTTAGAGAGTCTAGAAGTTGAATGCTTACATACTAGATTATGTCTCAAGTAATGGCTGTCCCATTGCCTTATATTGGAGACAAATAGCTAGACATTAATCAATGCCGCGATACTGGGCGACGATACTAGGCTGACAAGATTCTAGACTTGCAATAGCTTTAGCCGAATTATGGCGTATTGTCAAGTTTCAAGATTTGTCATTGCCTCGTCTTAATAATATATAGAGTAATTGAATGATTATATTTTATATCGCCGTGGCTGTCGGCCGCCGCCGCCGCCACCGCCGCCACCGCCGCCACCGCCCGGTCCGTCTGGAGCGCCGCGTCCTCACGTTATACGTCACCAGTCAAGTCAAAGGTATTGTTTACCTCTGAGATATGCAAATGCTGGTATACAATAGTGGTTTGACTTGACAGGTGAGGTGCAGTGATAGAGAGGAGGGGGGAGGGAGATTGTATTCACCACATACAGTAATGCAGGTGGCGGTAGAAGAAGGCAAGGAAGGCGGTGTTGAGGAAGAAGTATATGATGTGGAGGATGAGAGGTCCGCGGGATCGCCGTTTTTGAGGTTTGGGCTGGGGGTGGGTATGCAGCTTGTGGGCGTGCGTGTTTGGGTGCGAGGCGCGCTGGCCGGAGCCGGCGCGGGCCTGGCCTCATGGATCCACGAAGGAGATCATGATGTACCGCGTGCCGCTGTTGACGGGCAGGCCCTCGTGGTAGTGGGTGAGGCGGCCGGGGTGCATCAGGAGCCAGCCGAGCCGAGTGTCGCGCACCGAGCAGTTGTAGCGCAGGAAGTGGCAGCCGCCACCGGTGTAGTCCTCGTCTACGAGTAAGTTTTATAACTTAGTATATTCTACTTAAAGTAGTACTATAGTGATATTTTCCCGAACATTTTCTTTTACAAAAACAAAGTAGTATGCATGACTTACTAGGCGTGTTGAGGGCCAAGTTGATGGTGTAAGTGGAGGAGTCATGGTGGGGACGCAGCGAGGGCTGCTCGTCGGGCCGGTAGCGCACCACGAAGTTCATTATAGACACCGGCGGCTGTAATATTGCATTGTATTAAAACCATGAAAATAATTAAATGAAATGGCAAAATGAATCAAAAAGATCGTTTATTGCAACCAGATAGATAGTTTGATTATAAAAAGGAACAAAATTTTGAAACATTCTAAATGTAAAATTAAAAGTTAAACGTATATAAAAAATGGTCCGATGGCATCAGCAATATGTCCGGGGGTTTTCAAAAATCTTTAGACATATTCTACGTTTAACATATATTCTTGTGTTGACTACATTTTTGAACAACTACAACGAATAAAGTCAATGTCATGGCGATTAATTTTTCTTTTCTTTTTATTGCTGTTGCAATTTTATCGGCAACATGGCGAGGTTTTTTTATTTTCCTGGCACGATATTATAGTATTTATTAAGGAAATCCGATAATTCCTTCTATTATTTAGTTTCCCCTAAAATATCAAATAACAGGGTAATTATTTGATTACAACATTATTTTCCTGATTTACCATTCATACCAACGTTTATTTTTCCTATCACTCTTCTAAAGGAAAAGCCATTTAATCTTTGGGTTAGGACATTGCCTTATATTTAGAAAATTTCTTAATATTGAGGTTTGATACAAGGAGCGCTTGTGTTGTGGGACTGTAGGACGTAGGACCACGCTAACACTTTGCCTTGTATTTCCAGTCTTTTATTTTGTCATTAATACCTAATGCTTGTGACATACCAAAGTATTTATAGTTTTCATTCTCCGATAGGGAAATGACACATTCTGAGTAAGCTTTAGATTTTCAGAAGCTACAAACATCCCCTTTTGTACATTTATGCCTATATTTGTCCATTTCGAGCGTCATATGGCTCCAATGGCTTTGCTAAAGGCCTCAATTAGTCTGCTTAGTTGAGTACAATTTGAGATCGTCCTTGTATAAGAGGTGTAATATGATCTCGCTACTTCTACATACACCATAATATAGCTCTAAATTATTTATAAGTGTATTTTAAGGATTCAGATTCAGGCAAAATCACGATGTGCTCTATTGTCACATTGGAAGATGCCACACCGAATTCCTAGTCTAGATAAGGCAAAAAGATTACTTTGTTTTGAATTGGAAAAGCTGGTATAGGAGGTGTGTAAAACCTCCCTCACTTAGTGGGACACTGAATCGTTTCTTGAAACCAATCCAGGTCATAAAAATGTTAATAAGAGGTATGTGCCTTCATGAACTGATCTTTTTTGAATTACATTAAGCTTAATTACTTTTTTCCTTTCACATTTTTTCCCTATTCCTGTCTTAACGGACATTTAGAAAGTATTTTCCCCCATCGGTCACACTGGTGCCGTCAACCTTGACTAGGTCACCGGTCTTTGTTGTTTTACCTATACAATTGTTAAATATCTTATGGTTCAGTTCCTGTCTGTATGGTTACTCACGTTGTGGTAGTATCCAGTGAAAACCATCTCCTGCAGGGGGCGGACGTACTCCTTGAGAATGTGCAGCCACTGGCGCTCCAGCCCCACCTGGTTCATGTGGATGTCGCGCGTCGGTACCGCTTCGTAGCCGCCTTCCAGACGCTTGTCCTGCGACACAACCACATTATTGTCTATGTGCCTAACATTGTGCTTTACACAGACACATTTGTAAATAAACAGGAAGAAAAATTTGAAATATAAGTAAAAACAAATGGAGAGAATGGAAGTCACACTATCCCTTAAACCATAGGCCACAAAAAAATTGTAATAGCATAAATAATTATAAGGAGTAATAATTGCCCTTGTTTGAAACGGGCATTAAAAGTAAGGTGTAAACTGTGTTTTTAGTGTAATAAATATTGTGTAAATCACTAATTGTGTTTGTATTTTGAGGGACAACTGACATTGTTGGATCCGTCGCTCCATTTTCCGTAGGCCTCCATGATGTCGATCCACTCCTTGCAGAAGCGCGGCGACATCAGCGGGAACCAGTACACGTCGGGGCACGGCTGTTGATGTGTGATACATTACAAATGACATAGCATCAAGAATTCAACTATTTCATATTGACCATCTCCAGATGGTCTAAGCCCGAAACTTTTTATATAATGTTATAATCAACTAAGCAATTAGTTTTCATTTAGGTCGGCTCATTATGTTTAAAATGGCACCTCTTACCATCTTAGGCTTCTGTCCATCAATGAAGTTGGCGAGATACTCCTTATGTAGGTAGCGACGCTCCCACTCCATCTTGTTGTCCAGCACCTGGTACACGTCGGGATGCGTGCGGCTCACGTCGAAGTTCTCGTGATTCACCAAGTGGCCCAAATCCTCCTCGTTGTTAACGTACATCATCACACCCTGACCACAACGACGGAACGGTTTAAAAATGAAAACTATTTTTCATACATCACATCAAAGAAGTGAGAAGGAACACTAGATTCGAGATAAACTATCGAGTTTCACGGTTACTCATTTGAAAAAATTGCTACGTGATAATAAACTAAAGAATATGTTTATGGGTAAAATTCAACTTTCAAATGTTAAGTAATTGAATTGTGGTGCACTCACAATGCTCCTCAAGCTGTTACAGAAGGCCATGTCGGGGTCGACGTCGTCCTTGACGTAGGTGACCTCCTGCCCCTTCGGCGTGTGGAACAGCTCCATCTTGACCAGGTAGCAGTTGGTAATGAACGGCACATTCCATACGCCCCTGCAAAATTATTACTGCTGTCACTTACTGCTTACACGTAATTACGATAAAAATAATTTGAAGGTACGCTTTTTTACTAAATCCATCTCGTAGTACTACAGCGTAGATTTTTACACGAACATAGATTATATTATTTGTATAAGTAATGCAATATGTTCGCGGTGATTTTAAAAGCATCACACTAATATCCATCGAAGTTTCCCGAAAGTGACTTTATTTCGTTGAGAGAATTCTCTCACGTATTGAATATTCTAGAAGAACAACAGCGAAACTCTATCACGTATGGCTACGAGCGATTGCTCAAATTGGCGGCAATCGAGGCCCCGCCCAAATCGCGAAGCAAATTGCGGACAAGGGGGCGACAGGGTCCCTGGCTGTTCCAACATTAATCAATTTAGAGTGCGCGAGGTGGCGGGTCCTGTGCACAGACGCGCCATTCCCATGGACGGAGGCGACTAGAGCGATCGCTGGTGGACGCCGACAACCAAATGCTGCGCAAGCGTTTGCTTACACTGCTGGCTATCGCGCTGCTGCTCAGCTCTGTCGAGTCGCGGCGCGGCCGAGCGAGGAGCAGGACCAAGTCTAAGGTGAATAGCATCACTTGCTATTGTTTAGCAAGAATTCTCGACAACTTTCACTTATCGAACTGTTTACTCGTCAGGTACAAATCGGGCTGCCCATTACCGGCAAATACAGAGATCCCGAATCGGATCAGTATTACAATAACAATGACGTAAGTACGAGTTTTTTATTTGCATGTGCAACATTTTAAAATGAATTTGTATTGTATATCAGTAGCGGCGCGATAAAATTACACACGCGGATCTAATAGACAATATCAAAGCACGGCCTAAATTCAAAACGTTGTTGTGACGCCTGTTTGTTTGTTGAAACTAGCGTCGATAGATAACATTTAATTAAATGGTAATTAAAGATTACAGTTATTTGCTTTTTGCTTTATGTATTATATTATAGTTGGTCTTCCTTTAATGCCAAAGATCACTTGCATGGAAATGAATTCCCCATTGCTTGATTCTAAACATATTAACTTTCATAACTATTTTTAACATAAAGCTGTTTTCGTAAAGAACAACTTCGAACTGTCATAATTCAATTTTAAAAAGTAACTACGTAGTCTCGAATCTGCAAGAGTAGTAAGCGAATGATTTGAGTTACAAAACTGTTTTAATCAAAATGTAACAGCGCGTGAAATATGTGCCGCGATGTCTCGAGTTAAATCTGTCAACGTCCGTTGTTACGATGTGCGCAAAGTAAACGGTTGGGGTCGGCGCGGGAATTGGCCCATCCGAACAAACGTTTCGCCATAACTATCATGTCAAACTACTTATACGTCTAAACGAATCAACTACACTGATTGCACAATATTTACATGGAAATTGCTCTGTTTGTGCGTTGAGGAGATAAACTGTTCCGCATGGAATTTAAGAATATCCTAACTGTTATATCAGATCGTCATTTATTTCTGTACCAAATTACAACCAGTGGTAATCTACATCTAGACTTTTCCATTAACAATCAATAGTTGGCAGTAAGATAGCAACAATATTATAAACCGGCTCAAATATATATATATATATATATATATGCGATAAACAAATGAATAGTATTATAAATATCTGTGTGTGTTGTCCGTAGGGTGCCAAGATCATCCTGGCGTCCCATTTTGACCTGGAGTACGTGCTGGGCCATAAGATTGCGTTCCTCTGCATCGCTAAGGGCTCGCCGCGGCCACATATCACTTGGTTCAAAGACGGAGTTGAGATCTTCGCACATCACTACTTACATGTAAGTCTACCCAAAATCGTGGTCTGATACTAGAATCTAGTGTACTAAGCCGTCATGTTGAAGCAAAGGTGGACTAATTAGTACCATCATGTTAACAATATTTTAGCAATTTTTGTTTGTAAAGTGTTATTTTGTCTGTTGCTAAGATACATGAGTGGACGATTGGTGATGATCGTGTGAAATCAAAGATTGAAATCGACCCGGCGACGCAGATGGACGCCGGCGTGTACGAGTGCACCGCAGACAACATGTACTCTATCGACCGGCGCTCCTTCAAGACAGACTTCTCCATTGCCTTTGACTGACACGCGCTCATCGCCCCACATACTTCACTACTATACATACAGATGTTTTTATTTATTTGATATGTATATATTTTATAATAAATTGTTTAAGACAATTGTGTGTTTAATGTAAGTTTTCATGCATGCTCTTTGACCGAGACTATAATTTCTAATATATTCTGCAGCAACGTGGGTATGCCGCTTTGTCGTTGAATTACCACGACTTCAAAAATATATATATCTAGTTGATGACGATTGCATACGAAATGGAAATATCCTTGTTTTATCATTTACGAGGAAAAAATCTTCGAAACCCGGCGATTTTAGTTGCTTACGCTCCGCGTAGCACGCATCAGCACATGACGCGTATCGTTGACATTTTCATCTATCATCACCAAAGTCAGTCGCTCCCAAAGCTGCATCCCTGTTATGTAAATCAACTGACCTGATACTCCCGTAGACGATGTCCATGTAATCAGTGGACCTGGCGTAGTATCCGGAGGCGTTGATTGCTCCCCAGAAGTTGGACCAGGCCTGGCCTGGGCGAGCGAGCATTGGTGCGATGACGTCATAGCCTGAAGTCAGCAGGACGCGCAGAGTTTGTGGCTTGAGACGAGCCACGCTGTCCACTGAGAACAGGTAGTCGCACATGCTGTTTGTGCAACGATCTCTGTGGACAGAATAAATAGGAACAAATTGTAATAAATTGTTTTAAAGGAAAACCCACAAAAAGAAAGAAAAAAAAACAACAAAAGAGATGTTTATTAATAAATTATAATAATATTTTTATAATCTTTATTTTAATATAAAAGCTTTACTATTTTTGTTGTGTACTAACTTGGCAAGGTTCCTTGCTTCAGCTTCGCTCATGTAATCAATTGGTTTAATCCTCTTTGCGGTGGCATATTCCTTCGCGTACTTGTTGTAGAACTCGTCAACGTAGGGCTCATGGAAGGGGACATTGTTCCGCAGAATGAGATGCACCCTGTTCTTCGGGTAGTCCAGCAACAAGACGGATTCAAAGAATTCCTCTACAAAAGGCGTCGCCACCTCTATGAAGATCGCCAACATCACATGCGGCAGATTGTCCTCCTGACAACAATGATCAATTGATTAGCAAACTACCCTCAATTCAAAAATTGTTCATGTTACAACCTGCTAAAGCTTGAATTAATAAAACAATTTTTAAAATCGAATCATACGTTGAAAGAACAAATTTTTCTATCTCCTTACATTTAATTGAATCTTCCTCTCGGCACAGAGAGCGCAGCCCTTCTTCATCGACCAAGATTTGGCGAGATAGTTGCCCATGGTGTTGAGCATCAGTTTGGCGGGGCCGTTGCCGTGCACCACCAGGGGCCGCTGCTTCGTCGCCACGTTCTCCAAGTACGGCCATTCTTCAGTAGTGTTGATACGGAGCTGGACGTCAGCTGAGACAAACATACTGAATTTAACAGGCATCCATGTAAAAAAAACGTAAAAACAAATACTATTTGTTTCTATTTTATTATTAATCAATTGATTTCATTCCCGTGTATATTTTTAGTAAGTTTAAACTTATTGTAACTTACAAAGGGCTCCATTGAGGTTCTGGAATATCTCGGACTTGTGGTCGAGACTGATCTTGAGGGAGTCTCTCAGCTCGCTCAGGTATACCTTGGTGTAATACAGCTGGTCATCTTCGTTGTCTTTTATCTTCCTTGCGTTCAGTATGGCATTTAATTCCGATAGATATCCTGAGAAATTCAATGTTATTAATGTTTGAAAAAAAGTTACTAGATTCCTGCGAAGCTAATAATTGACTTCCGTCTAAACATTTTTAATCACTTTCGGTGAAACAGACATAGTTGCATTCAAAAATATCAAATCTTTTACTATTTTATATAATTTTAAAATACCGTTGTGATAAACATACTACACACCGAATTCGTTATCTGTATTTCCGTTTCAATCGCACACAACTTCCGTTCGTTACATTTGGTATGAATCCGATACTTCACAAACGCGGGGACAAAGATAATGTCATCTCTTTCACTCTCTTAAAAAATTACAATGTCTTTCATTAGATATTTACCAGTGAACTCACGTTTAGAATATCAAATTTCGAACATATATATACGTGTACAAAGTCAACTGTACAATTATAAATTATATAATCGTACAATGATGACATTGTTAAGGCAATTATTACAGAAATGACACAGGTGTTTTCTATTTACTATGCAATAACACATAGATGACTTATTAAAAGTTTCAATATAAATTTAAACAATACTTTTGTTTTACCGCGCACTTGTAAAAACATAACATAACCAAATGTTAAAATGTGGTGTCATTAACAATAATACGTCTTACATGATTTAATTGAAATCATTAATTTAAATTTATTTCAATTCGATTTCATTTTAAAAAAAGCACTCAATTGACTCAATATATGAATACAGAGATAGTTGCAACAGCTTTCATTTTACATCTATCCATCATCCAATCAACAGTGATTTAAAGTTCAGCACGATCATTGACCTCCGCCAAAGGAGGACGCATAGCTTATAATGTTTATTTCAACATATTTATATCAGAATGTTCGAGAAAAAATATTAGTTCAAAGGTTACTGTATCTCGTAAAATGTAACTCTTTATCTAAAGAATAGATAGTTAATGAACGCGGTAGTGATTGATAGACAAAGTAGAGAGTAACTTTTAGAAAGAAATATTAAACTAGTGGTTAAAAACCATTTCTATTTAATATTATTTTAATTTAAGCTTCCTTGTGATTGAGCAACATGTTCATGTGTCCAGCTCATATTCTCGGAGAATGATAAAGGTCATTGGTTATCGACAAAATATTTTTTTATACAAATTTTTAAAAAATGATAAGAATGGATATAATTTAATTATTCGTTCTGTTATAATTTTGATGTAATTTTAATTTGATTCTTGAGACAAAATACACGCTTGAAGACTACACCTAATTTCAAAGGTTCATTCAATCTTGTTTATCTAATTTCTTAAAACTCGCGTCACATCTAAAATTACTTGATGACTGAGACAAAGGAATTTCTAGAACTTTCTTGGGAAGAAAATTTTGATAAACTTTGATAAAACAAATGTGTTACAACTTGAACACATTTGAATTTGACAGTAGATTTCTTACTTTATTTTTAATTTAATTATCTGTAGAAAAAGAATTATCTGTATGTTGTAAGAGAGAATGGAAACATAACAATATTTTGTGCAAACCGACTGTGATACCTACCTAATATTGTTACTTACCAATAAATCCACCCGAGTTGAGATAGGGATTGGTGACCTCGGCGTTGGGGTACATGGCGGCGAGCTTGGGGTCCGGCCAGCAGAATGGCTCCGCGGAAAACAGCACGCGCGTGTCCGGCATAGCCTTGAACTTCACCAGGATGTCGCCCAGGGTGCCCAGGAACATCACGTCGTAGCTACGCAAATAACAGTGATTTAATGACGCCCGCCACACTAACTCATAGAGTACGCAAAGATAGGAGGTCTTAATTAAAAATACAGCGATTAAGGAAAAATAGTTGCAGTTCGAATATGGATTTCGGTCGCTCTGTCCCTAACTCTATTATTTCTATGTCCGCACAATTGTGATGAAGTGAGAACGAACCTATCGGTGAACATCACGATGTGATCATTTTCCTTGGTTTTCATCAGTTCTTCGACCTTCTCCTTGAGGAGGTTGACTTTCTGTCCGCCACCTGGGAAGTTCATATCACCACCCTCCCATTTCTCTCCTTGCCCCAAGACCTGCACGTCAATGTCATACGTTTTCGCGGATCGCAAGAACCGTTTGAAGCCATCGTTCTCCTCCGTGGCCACTGTGAGTACTGTCACGTCATCTGCAACAACGAAACAAACATTCAAGTATACGTCTATTTGTATACTAACGGCGCTGTTTGCGTTAATGTCCTAATGTACCTATTTATATACCGATGTGAATTATAATAATTTGTATTTATTGCCGCGTCAATATGAATAACAAAGTGTCGATGAAATCATGATGATCAAAAAGACATGTACGTAAAGGAACAGTCATAAAAAGTCAGCTAAATGTTTCATTATTATTTATTGAAGAGCTTTGCCAACGCTGAAAACATCGATACACAATTTCAATAACTAAATATAATAAGTTAACATGCCTCGGGAGTGTGGGCGGGAAGCGAGGGGTTGCGGGGAGGAGGGACTGGCGCCGGTAATATGCTTAAGGTAATGGGTGTGGTACGGGGGCTGCGGGGAGAGATGCAACTGCAATCGATCGATGCGATGCGCGTAGCTCTGTCTGGGTTTCGTCGGAAAGCGCATGAACTATTTAATTGATTTCGGTATCCGCCCACAGAGCCCCGGGGCGCTGGCTCTCGAATGTTCTAGGCGTTTGGATGTAACCGAAAATGTATAACTATGTACTTTACAGTACAAGAGAAATTAATTTACAATACTGAACCTCGTTATTATTACAATACATACATGTATGATAATATTGCTTAAAAGAATATTTAGAGTAGACCAATGGTAACAAAAGAATTTAAAACAGTGTAGTAGGTAGCTTGAGTTGGCAAGTAAGGTAGATGAGTACTCTTAGTACTGACGTGCCAACTGAAAGCTTGATACACATTCGTGAGTCAAATTTTATGCTGATCTTAATTATCGCTTCTGGTATATTTATTAGACATTAAATGATGTCATCATCTACATGTAAGTCACTCTGTATGTATGTGTGTATGTGTATTTATATAAATATATGTGTGTACATTGTACACAAGCAAAAGCGCTTCCGTTGCAACCATAAACACAATCGTTAATATCGTTAAACTAAAACTGTGACTTACGCATAATAATAAGTGTTGTTGAATTTTGTACCATACGCAGTTGTTTTAAAAACTATTTTCAAATGCAACCGTATAACAGGCAAAAGCACGTAGAGCGCATTCTTAAAATTCTACCAGGAATAGAAGTTTACCCTTTGCTTATTCCGTATTTATGAATTTCTAACAATAGAAATTGTAACCAGAGTTACAAATGTTGAATTATATTTCTCATTGTTATTATTATAGAACAATGGAACAAATAAATTTATGAAAAGTCATTCCAGAATACTGGCTGGATATATTAAAAACCATAAAATATAAAAGTAATTTATGTATGTCTAAAACTCAGGAGTGCCAATATTTAAAAAAAAATCTTATATTCATCCAAATACTATTTCTATTAATATGTCAACCCCCTACTTTATCCATAAATTTATCAAGACAAATGTATTTTGTTCAAAAAATTATGAAAAACCATTGAAACCATAACTATATGTAATACAAGAAGGCAGAATACAAATAAAACTGCTTTGAGCACACAGCAATTGCAAAATAGGAATATTCGCTAAAGTAATATACATTCAAAACAGCATCGCTTTAATCTAAACGCAAGCTTTGATAACTTAAATGGAGTAACAAACTGTTTTGTTTTTTAATATTCCAAACCTGTTAATATATTGAAGGGACTGATAATATACATTCATAATAAACAATAGAATTCATAGCCAGTATTGTAGTGTTTATATGGCATTCTGTCTGGATCCTCGGTTTCAGAAACTTTGGCAGATGTAACATATGGTCTGTATTTCAAATCAATAGACAAAAATGTGTAATGTAGTTAAACAAACTTAGAAGTAAATCAAAGGTATCGCGTAGCAAAATTGTTAAGACAGCTTATAACATCTATTGTTCACTAGTTATAGTAACTATGAAACAATGGATAGTAAAATTTGGTGAAGTCATAAACTGTTGTTATATAACTTATCATCAAAAGATGGCAGATTGTAAATAAAACTGAAAGTTATGAAAATAATGAATTATGAAGTCATACACAACTGTGTGAAAATACTTATATTACATTCTACAATCACATGTTGATAAGTTTCATCTCTTTATATAAACAATGAGCCATCCCTAAAAGTTATTTTAAATAATTAATATATCTCCACATTATGCAATCTTATATTTTGTGTTTCCATTCCAGAATTTAATTATCATATTCTTACTAATTCCTTTTCAAGTAGTGGTATGTTTAAATTAAAATATTTAATCTGTAGAGCTGCGCAAAACCTTTGATGTCCTTGTTTGTCCGCCAAGCATCGATCCAACCCTCTACACCCCCCCCCCTTCTTTCATCCCCCTCATGCCACACCCCAGCCATTTATAGCTCATGTACATCTCTTTGTTATGATTGCAACATGATAAAATATTCTGTTATTAGCTTTAATTGTTCTTTTCCAATTTTGTTTTACATATGCAGAAAACATCCATTCCATGTTAACAATTTAATTACACAATACCAAACAAAATAACATATTTCATTGTTACACTAATGTTATAAGTAGTATATTTAACTTATAAAAAAGCTACAACAGTCATAAGCAATATGTAAGGACCCATAGCTACAAACGGTAATCAATATGTCCTCCATTCAGTCTAGCAATAATTAATGAGCAGAGCTTTAATAGATGACCTAGATCAGTTTCGTTACATTAACTATACCATGCCTCTATTCCAGTCTTTGTATTTACCAAAAGTCTTGTTTGTTTACAAAAAAAATCCAAAAAAATAAATGGATATAGGCATGTATAGTATATGTTTACTTTTTTTTTTAAAAATTATGAATAAAATATATAATAAATAGCATTGACATGTCTTATCTATTACTTACCAAGGGCTGTGGCATGTCCCAGGAATAAGAAAGAAAGCAGTAAAAGTTTCCTCATTTTTTCAGACATATCGTGTTCAAGCTGTTCAATGTCCTAATAAAAATAAAATGCCGGAATCGTAGCTTGGCGTTCCGGGCGCCAAAAGTAACGCGTTATGCGCTATATGCGGGACCTATTTGATAAACTTTGGGTCACATGTTATACCAAAATACGAGACGGATCGACACATCCAAAGTTTACAGAGACCGGATCCCGACTGAGGCTGCGCCCGACGCTCCGTCGGCCGGGCCCGATGCTAGGGAGTTGCCCCGCGCATGTGTTTTAATGTCTAAATGTCGAAGCATTGATTTATTACTGTTTCACCGAAGCACGTACGCCTTGCTGGCAACCCAGGGTGTGGCATCGTCTAGACAGCGCTAAGCGTCTACGTCTAAATCAGAGGACGGTCGGGGGTCACTATAGACGAAAATATTACATTTGCTTTACTCTTATAAGTAATACTTTGTAAATTTTCCAATTAAAATTATATGAATTATAATGAGAGAAAAATAAGATTCATATAGGTATAATCAGCATGGGTAATTTCCACCGGCACGCTTGTTATTGTGTATTATTTTTATATACAGCTTTAGACTAATTTGACATTGACAGTTGACAGTTGTCAAATTAACTGAAGTGACTGTCTGTCTATTTAAAGATATCAGTTTGACAACGGACGCGTATAAAGTATCGAATTAATGTCATATGAGGATAAATATTGTACTTAATATAACATTGTCATAGTGTCGACCGTACGCGTATAGCGAACAATTATGAACTATCGAGCATCGGACCTGTAATAAAATCGAAGAATTTATTTTAGTACAAAAATACTTTTTCAATTTATTACAGTTGTATTATTTCCTTTTTTGTACAGGCTCTTTATTAATTCCTTTTTTCTTTGTCAACAACTCAAATTATGTTTTATTTCATTATGTAGTTTTGTAAAATAAAGGAAGCATATAAAGAAACATTTTTTTTATTATAATTAAAAAAATAATCGATTGCCAGTTCGATGAGAACAACTACCGAAAATTTAAAAAAATCCTCACCGATTTTACTCAACCCATCTCTAGTGAATTGTCAAACGAATTGCAAACTAGTCGTCCTTAAACGTACAGTCGAAATCGATAACAATATGTTTAACCATTTGAAACGTTTTAGAATTTAGATTATAATAACACGATCAATATCTGTTATAATTATAATAATAAGCTAAATCTATTATTTTTAAGGCTCACATTAAAATTGTAGCTGTACTTGTTTCTATTGGTATCAATTCAGAATTATTCTAAGTTCTTAGATCACAAACATAAATTATTATGTTGTTTATATTAATCAATAAATACCCAACCCGAAGCATAAAAGTAAGGCGATAAAAGTCCTACTTTTATTGGTATCAACTCTCTCAGTTTTATCATTTTAATTAAATGAAGGCATTTCGAGAAAACACTCGATTAGACGTCTTTTTTGACATTACCAGAAGGGCGCTGGTGAGCTACCATAAGGCCACGCGAAGTACAGTTATTTTCTCCATGCAAAATTAATTTGTTAGTTAATTTGCGGCAATTATCAAACTAATCTTTATAAAACGAACGATGTATAACGATTTTTTATAATTAAAATGCTTACTGCTTACTTTTATAATTAAAAGGTTTACTGCAATATTATGGCGAGGTAAATCTCTTTTTCTGGGCACCCTGTACAGGCGTCCAGAAAATGTACGACGACGCGTCGTGTACATACGATACTTTCAACCAAGAAACGTATGTTGTTGTTGTACACGTTTTTTCCAGTTACCTAAATATTCCTAACTTGAATATGAGCCTATTAAATATAATTTTATTCTATCAAATCGATATTAATCCATTAAAAAGCCAAACACATGAATCAAAATTAAAAATTAATCTTATAATAATATTTAGAATTTGTCAGGAATAATCTTCATAAATTATATTTTATTTATAATTTCAATTTTATTTATATGAGAAAACTAAATTAATTCCGACACAATTTTTGTAAGTTAAATTATTTTATTGGGCTTTTTGGGTTACAACTTACAAACAATGTGTAAAGATGGAAAAGGCGCCATCTAGTATATCAACAAGTAAACAATAAAGCCTGTTTAAGCGCCAACCGATAGTCAAACACGAGGTATTTATCAAAGATTCCATTTCAAATATTTTTGAGTTTATTATTAAATTATAATACTATTAGTTAAATGAAAATATTGTTAGCAAACAAATCTGTAGTAGTTATAAAAAATTACACAAATTATATTATATGTAAACTGCAAACAGTTTTATATTGTATAATTTATTTTTAAAATATTTAAAACACGAAAGATGATTTATGGATATAACACTGATTTGAAAATAGTAACTAAAATTTTAATAACCACAGTTAATTTGTTTTTATTTAATAAAAATATATATAAAAAATTTAAATCGCAAATCAATAAAAATAGTTGTTTACCTTTATGAAAAAAGTTTCGTTGCTTGCAGCCAGAATCTTGTGAATCCTTAGTGCAATATTCTTCATTAGACCCGTTCGTACTATTCAGATAAATTAATAATAAAAATAACATAAAAATATGTCCGGTAGACATGTTCGCTATCGGGCATTTACCGAACGAATGCAAACTTGCTACGATTAACTTTACCAAGTCGCTTACTAAAATGTTCAGGGCTATGTTTTATTTGTCGTTTATGTAAGACATTGTTACATTAAGTAAGATGAAAGTGAATCAAATTGAAAACTGTCGGATCACTGATGCGAAACGTTCCGGGAAAGGTTACTAAAGAAATTCATTTTATAATGTAAATCTCTGTTTCAGTACTACATATATTTAATACATATAAATGAAGATACTTATATAATATAACAAGCGTGTTTATTTTTTCCGAGAGCTCCTTATCACTAAGTTATGAATAACAATGTTATTTGTTATCACAATTATGACTATAAAGAGTTAAAATTAAAAGTCTTCTATACTATTCTGTCACATTACAGCATTTTGTATCAAAAACACAAGTACATAAAGAAGTAAATGTACCTTATGTTCTTTGTATGAAACTTTTATAAATGGAAACCCATCCTTAATTCGTATTTAGCAGATAAAAATGTGTCGATGTTAGCAACTAAACAGTTACTGCAAAAGTTTATTGACCTTGCAGTTAAATATTTTTAAACTACCGTTATTGCAAAAGAAATCCGTAAAGCTTGAAAATTAACTTTTATAAGAAACAAATCAAAATAACCGTAGCGGTGACAAAAAGGTTCGGTGAAAGTATAGCTGGATGGTTACGCTTCACTGAATTATTTTATACAATAATTGTATACCGTTGCTGTTGACAAAGCGTTTTCTTACTTTCCTAAATACGAAACAGTGTAGGAACTAAATTTCCTTCCCACTAAATCCATTGCTAATGTCTGATAATTACATCAATATGTGTGTGTGTGAACTTAACTCTGTGATTAAAAAAGAAGAAGAAGACTTTCATCATCTTAACATGTTTTACATACAGACTACACATCTCTTGTCGTGTCTTACCATAGCTCTCCACTGCTGAATAATCCACTGATAGTATCGTTGTCTTTTTTATGAAAATATTGAGGGAGACAATATCGTTTATCTTCCGTTCGATCTTACTAAAGAGAAAGATTAAATTGTCAAATTCATGTTCGCAAGTCTGGACCAAATAATAGTAAAATAATTTTCAGAAGCCTAACTATCGTCAAAGGACAACGCACAAGTCTTACGTTGTCGAAATTACTAAGATAAGGGATGTTGCACAGTTGAATGTTGATCTGTAAACCCTTCTTTATGTTTCAGGTAAATCATCGACCGACGAAGGTTAGGAATTTTATTAATAGTTAAAAATGTTTTCAATAAAATAATAATTGAAATATTTAATCATTTATAAATGTATGTCGTAACACGAGGCACATGTGAAGCTTCAGTAAATTAGAATCCAATTAGGACAATGGGATTAGGGACAGAAACGAACAATTCAACTTCTACGTTGGAAATAGTCAGTCATCTTGTAACCACAGTCGACTACTCATCAACAACAAAATGCCGAAAGACGACCCAGAGACTACAGCACTAAAGAAGGAACTGACTGATCTGATAGCTAAAGTTAAGGTATGACACAATAATACATAGACAGCAAACCAATCATTCAGAAGAACTGTTAGTTGCTAACAATTTCAGTAAGCTCTTAACTTCTGCAATCTTTGTCCGTGTTATCTAATAACTGGTGTTATTCCATCATAGGCAGCGCAAGAGAAGGTAGCGGATGCAAAACTCGCAGAGAAATGTAGCGACATGGGAGACGTGCCGAAGATAAGATTCGTCACAAAGAAGACGCTTAAAGGCCACATTAACAAGGTGAACTCCGTACACTACAGCGGGGATTCGAGGTTAGTTATCAACTCACACTAATACTACATTAATAGGAACAGATATAGTACATGCCGCTTTGGTAACCGTACATCGGGCAGACGATTCCTTTTGTTCCCAATGAGCTAAAATACTGGAATACCGAGGACTGTGATTAAGTTAACAACAATATTTAGATTTCTGCAAATGTCTTTAATCTACGTTAAACATTATCAGGCAAATTGCAGGACAGTGTCACTCATTGATTAGATTTCGATGTAACATATATTTTCCATACACTCGTGATGGAGTAAAGCTGGCTTCAAATAGGATTAGCGGAAGGTGATTAAGGTTTACATGCCTAGAATACCGATAAGTCTCCAATAATTGCATTTCAAGCATCTATTCTAATAAGGTTATTTTAATTCTTCGAAGTCTATTAAAGGTAGGCAATGTATCTGAAAATTATCAACACGTCTATTTTATTAACATGTACATCACAATACATTGTGTGTCAATTCTGATATATGATAGTGTGAGAAGATGTCTGTCTATAGGCACTGTGTGACCGGATCGCTGGACGGGAAGCTGATCATCTGGGACACGTGGAGCGGCAACAAAGTGCAGGTCATACCTTTGCGCTCGGCCTGGGTCATGAGTGTCGCCTTCGCTCCTTCTGGCAATTTCGTCGGTAAGAATTGCAACTAATTATTACTCCCCTGATGTTCTGGGAAATTGAAATAAAAGATCAAACAGACAAAGCGTATAAGTACGTTGGCATTGTGTGAACGCTATTTTATTATTGTCTGTTGAGAAATCGTGACATTTGTGACTATTCTCCTTGATTTCTGTTATTGCAGATTTCTTAGGGTAGCTTAGAGATGGAATTATACATATATTTTTTTGTATGTATGTTAGCGTGCGGCGGTATGGACAACATGTGCACGGTATATGACGTGAACAACCGCGACGCGACGGGCGCCGCCAAGATGGTGCGTGAGCTGGCCGGCTACGAGGGCTTCCTCAGCTCTTGTCGCTTCCTTGACGACACGCACATCCTCACTGGTTCCGGAGATATGAAGATGTTAGTCGGTTTACTCATTGATGTCTGTACTAAGTCATTTCACGTTTTGTAGGATAAAAGCTAAAAGAAAAGATTTAATTTAATTTATAAGTTAAATTTTAGGTAAGTAGGTGTAGAAAAAGTTTTACAAGATCCCAAGCCTTATATTTTGTTTCTTCTAATGTGTTTATGTCGATAGTTGACTTTGTCTTAAGATGCGTTTGGGACCTGGAAGCTGGCAAAAGGGAGATGGACTTCAATGCTCACGCCGGTGATGTCGTCAGCATCTCCTTAGGGCCTGGTAAGAGAAATAGCTCAGTAACAGGGTACAGGAAAAGCCTCAACACATTAATCTATTTTATGTTAGACATGAAGACATACGTCACGGGATCCGTGGACCGCACCTGCAAGCTGTGGGACGTCAGGGACGAGAAGGCGAAGCAGACATTCTTCGGACACGATGCGGATGTGAACAGCGTTTGTGTGAGTAAAACATTCTATACCATACAATATAATATATGATCAGTATACATATATATGTTGTACCTTAAGAAAAAATATGAAGAGGGAATTTATAAAACATATGTATCACTCCAAGTACCACCCGAGCGGGCAAGCGTTTGCGACCGCTTCTGAGGACAAGACAGCAAGACTCTTCGACCTACGCAGTGACCAGCAGTTGGGGCACTACACTCCGCCTGGCAACAGCGGATTCACTAGCTGCGGTTAGTACCAAACTGTATAAAACATCACAGCATGTATTACATTAGAATACTAGAGTCATGGCCGTCACCAGTAACGTTCTAGAGATAACTTCTACCTACTTTCATCCATCCATCCATTCATCTGTACCTAATTTGTTCATTATGTTTAAATATACTTAGTACATACAATAAAATATTAGCTTTTATATATTAGCTGTATCATTTTGTTTGTTTACCCTTGTTAACTACAAAGTGACCTTTTCATAGTTATGTAAAGGTAGGTTTTGACGCAAACCGACTGCAAACAGTGCCCCCGCTGTGTACACTCACAGACAGCTGTCCTAAACAATGGCTTGTTTTCTTCATAGCCAATGAAGCGGAGAGAAATGTACGAGACATTTCTATAAATGTACATTTTTATATCAATTACAAATGTTTCAGGCATTGTATTTTATTACAATTAACTATGAAGTGTACCATCATTAAAGGCGATTTTTGCCACTGACCTATGTAGGTTTCTGACACTAAACTGTTTAAAACATATTGATCCTGGAAATCAACAGCGAGACACTTTTATATGCCTTAATTCTACGTTTTTTGACTTAGAAATGAGAGCTCTATGTACTCGTATATATGTATATAATTGTGTCTATTTATTTCTTAGCACTGTCTCTGAGCGGGAGATATCTGTTGGCGGGTTCTGATGACAACGCCGTACATTCATGGGATACGTTAAAAGTTGCTCATACAGGTATGTCGTAGCCAAAATGACCAAGAGGATAATCACCACTAAAAAAAGGTCGATCGATCGCTTATGTTACTTTCACACAAGGGAAGAACACTAGGACAGAGGAGTACTGCCATTGTTTGTCGAAAAATGCCGTGATAGAACAGTTCTGTTTTCACAGTAAGCGTGCTTTCAAAAGCAGTACTGTTTCACTGTTCTGCCCGTGTGTAAAACTACTATAAGCCATAGATAAAGTTGACCTTAACGTCGGCTTTCCACTGTCGAAATACATGTATGAAAACAAACTGTGCGATTGACAGGCCTTATTTACTTAAAATAATCTAACAACGATTAATTTTGTGGAAGATAACATGATTAAAAAGTTTTTACAAAAGTTGGAGCTGTTGGGAGGACCGCCGACCATAAGTAGAGTGGAATATGAAAAGAGTAATGATGATTAATTTATTATCAAGTTATACTTTCAGGTACACTCAACGCTCACGAGAACAGAGTGACCTCTATCTCGGTAGCTCCCAACGGGATAGCCATGGCGAGCTGCTCCTGGGACCAGAGCGTACGCGTTTGGGGCTAAACAGCTCAGTTTACAATAATAATAAAAAAATATTTGTAGTTAAGTAATCTATTCTATTTTAGTTATTCATCATCACTTATAGTTTAATATTATTTTCAATTTTCAATAACACATTAAACCCTCATGTTCGGAGTTGTACGGGTGAACTAACATACCTAAATGTCGCAGAATAGTAATGAAAAATATTAGCCACGTTTCTTCTGAATAATGTTTGCAGTTACAAAAATGTTGCATTAGTAAGTATTAAATGTAAGACGCAGTGTTAATTAATACTATAATCATAACATATATAATACAACATACATATATGTACCTTTTAAAATAATTTTTATGTCTGCTTTACCTGTGTTGCTTTTTTTGCATCAGTATTTTTATTGAATAAAAATGTATTTTGTTTTGTAATAAATTGTTTAAGTATTAATATTGTTTTTATGGCGGCTTTCTGCCGTGCCGCACTCAGAGTCTTTAAGGGACGAATTCTTAGTGCAGATTTAAAATATTAATTCTACACTAAGACTATATATTATAGACCCATTTATTTGGTGTGCACTTAAATCTACTTTTGCTTTCGAAGCGCCTGCGGGAAAAATAAAGCAAATAATCAATTTTATGATTCAAAATAAACAAAATCACTCTGATTATGAAAGAAAAAACATGCGATATAAATTTATATTGTCGCGGCAAAAGAATTAGCAATGTTAATAAACATAATGCATTTGATACGATAAGTGATAAACCAGAGGTTCAATCTTATTTCATGTAACACCGATTTCTTTCCTGGAGAATAGACCAGAAGACAGTGCTGTCTCTATCTACTCCCTCTCTTTCTTAGTAGTAAGATTACAAAAAAATCCAAGGCATACATTTGAGTTGTTCAAAAGCTTGATGAGCGTTACTGAGAAGCGTTATAGCAGATACATTGTGTTGCATAACAAATGATTTTCCGAGGAATGGCATTTCATAAACACATCTCAATCAGTCACGTCCTCCGTAACAACTCTTGTCATTACACGAACCACGATCCAACGAGAATGTTCTTCTTTAAAAGATTGTTTATACCAACCAAGCTAACAAAGTTATGTTACGCGCTCATCATCTCTGCGCTAATGCTGGTGATACTATGCCGTTTACATTACAAACATAAGATGAAAAAATTGGACGTAAGTAGCGAATTTTTTCAAGATGATGAGAACCAACCGGCAAACTTTATACCTTACGACGGAAACCTGAGATATATTGTCCGTTGGGTAAATCCCACGAATAAAATTATTGAATACGTCGACGGTTCCCGACTGTTTGTGATGAAGAGTTGCTCCTGGAATAACTGCTACCTCACGGATAACAGCAACATCCTGAACTCATTCTCAGGATTCAGCGTCGTCCTATTCGACGGACCAGACATGAATTATTTTGAGACTTCGAAGCATTTACCAAAGGCGCGTAGCCAGCACCAAAAATTCGTGTTCGTGAGCGGCGACGCGGCGTCCAGTTTACCTATCTGCAACGACATGTGGAACGACTACTTCAACTGGACCTGGACCTACAAGCTGGATTCGGATATGGTTTGGAAATATATCGTCATAAGAGATGTAAACGGTAAAATTATCGGACCGAAAAAGGATATGAATTGGATAAAACCCGAAAATATGCTTCCCGTAGATAGTGCGTTTATAATGAAATTGAGAACTAAAACTAAAATCGCCGCTTGGTTTGCATCCAATTGCAAGACGGACAGTCAAAGGGAGAATTTCGTTAAGGAGTTAGAAGTTTATTTGAGCGAATATAATTTAGAATTGGATATTTATGGTGATTGTGGCAAATTAAATTGTCCGAGAGTTATAATGGGGAGGTGTCTTGAGATGTTGGAGAAGGACTATTTCTTCTACCTAGCTTTTGAGAATGCTCTGAGCGAGGACTACGTAACGGACATTTTACTGCACGCGCTCAAGCACGACACAGTACCTGTCGTCTTCGGCGGGGCAAACTACACGAGGTAACTAACTATACACTACTTTCTGCGTTTACCGTCTTTATCTCTTAAAAAGTGCGATCATTATACGTTTATGCAGAAATGAAATACTTATGTGGTAGATCTATAACATGTACACATATTCTTACAGATTCTTACCAGACAACGCGTATTTGAACGCGCAGGAGTACGGGCCCGAAGGTCTGGCGCGTCGCATGTTTGAGCTGATGCACAGCCCCTCGAAATACCAGAAGCTATTCAGGTGGAGGAACCACTACTCTTATCACTCTCACGACGAATCTCCGGACTCAGATAACTTCTGCAACCTTTGTGCCGCAGCCAATAAATATCGCTTTGACAACGACTTGCGTAAAACTAATTTCAAAAGTTGGTGGAACACGAAAGATAAATGTAAATAAGTTCTACTAGCAGCGACGAGTTCACTGGTTAGAGAAGTAGTATTATTGGAGTAAAACTAGTTGTAAAAAGATCATACGATGTTTTCTATTTAATATATTGGAATCTGATTAGTCCCAAATTCGTTTTATTTGTAGGATAAATATTAAATAAATTTTAAAAATTTATTAACTGTTTTAAAAGTTTTTCGAAGTACATAATTTGACAAAAAAAATGTTTATTCTTCAACATACATTAAATACTTATTTTAATGTCTAAGATATATAATTAGTTACAATAATAAATAATCTTTATTTTAAATTATAAAACAATTCACATGTAACACGGGGGTTATAATTTCAATAAAATAACCGTTCTAATCAAAACATTTGTTCGAGTAACAAGATTAAAATATCTTAAAACTATTTTTCTTATTTTGATGAGAATCTCAAAGCACACAATTAAATTTCTAAAGTAGTGCGGTAACACACAAATTATGCATTTCGTTTCACATCGAAAATAATGGCCTTGAATATGTGTACCCTTTTGTGTGCCTTAAGAGGGTTATAATCTCTGTAAGAGACGTATCCTGGTCCAAACAGGTCTAAAGTTCGTCGATGAACTTCCTCGTTCTAATGCTGTGCCAGAGCGGCAAAGAGCCCCAGACCCTAGAGCGGGAAGCCAGGTGGTTCCTCATCTTTTGCTCGCTTCCAATCTCCAAGTATTCCATCCTCTTGCTGCTGCTGGCTGGTTCCCATTTAAATGGCAGTTTGTTTGGTTTGTTTGGATCACTGTAATAATTAAAACATTGTAATATTTTCCTTATCACCGAATCTAAGATATTTTCCTTTAACAGCTTCTAAGAATAATGCATATGGGTTTTTAACATGATAAAAATCAGATAAATACAAATTATCCGGTAATCTTGGAGTACCAAGTATAGACAAGTCTTCATCTCTTCTTTGATACCAACAACAAAAGTGTAAGTTTGATTTTATCAATACACACATTATTATATTCTGACAGTGATCATATCTTTTCATTTGAATTTTTAAAACAGCTTCATTTTATTAAGAAAATGTCCTTGTCTACTGCTTTGATCCAATAACGATATAGAGCTGGTTTCAAAACTATGAAACTATTCAAATAAAGCCTTACCCAGTAGTAGCAAAGTTGGTCCACATAGTTATTATTAGTTCGCTTATTCTCCTGTCCTCTTCAGAGAAGGGCTTCGAGAGGAAGTCAATAGGGAACAGATGCATCAGTTCGTCCGCGTGACAAATACCTAAAGTCAATTTAAATGTTGCCAATTAACTAAACAAAGGAAAGCATAAAGTATTTGATTGAAACCGTAAATAGGAAATATATTATATGATCAGACAGATTACTTATTGATCGAAGAGTTTCACGTCTATTCAGAAAATTACACGAGACGCTGCACCCAACATATTTTAGAAAATGGTATGCTCATATAGGATCGTTTAAATCGTAATATAACAAAGGTGTCATATAAAAACTCATCACCAATGACAGGAAACTGACGTAAGGTATCGTTAATTAACTAACCATAATCGCCTTCCTCGTCGCCGAATATCTGCGAGAAACTATTCGTCGCTCTGTACGTTAGTTCATAAAGGAACACTGGATTCTTCGTATAATTAAACGTCAACTCGATAGCTTCCAATGCTGGGTACGCGAAATATGAATCCGTGTAGATCTGAAACATTTTTTATATAATTTAATTTCTGGAACATCAAACGACACTGTGAAAATAAATACTAAGGTTTAATATCGAAGATAAATTATCAGAGAATACCTATATGTACATGCCTAGTAAGCAACAAAACGAAATCGTGCAAGAAAAATCACAAATACGAATTAATATTATATTAATTGCGCAATTTATTTACAAATCCATAGATTAGGTTCTCACTTCAAGTATCCCGGATTTGATCGCCTCCTGTTCACCACCGTTGAAGTACACGTCCTTGATGCGGTCAGTGATTACGTCAGCGTACGGAGAGTTATCATAATAAAACGTCACCGGAGCTATCGCCTCGAAGGCGGATATGAACTCCTGGTACCGGCTCGAGTTGGCCGTTATCCCTGGACGAAGATAATTTACGTTAAAATAAACAATAAATTGTATGAACAATAAGATTTGGTCGCTGGTAACTCAAATAAGAATAAAATACTAAACAAACTATCATAAATATGGATAAAAAGTAAGAAATACAAAACCTAACACATTAAGGATATTGACATGAACACAATTTTTTTATATGTGACTAATGAGGGATATTCTTTATCTAAAACTGATTAGAACAAGGAATAACAACTCACAAACAGACTTTAAGCATCCTTCGTCTTTGGTAAGACCAGTCATCCAAGGCACGGCGGCAATAGACGGCGTCTTTCGAGGGCTGGCCGTCAGGAAGGCGCCAGGTAAGTCGGGCTCTGCTACTGCCTTGAATGGCGTCATAGGTTCGTAGTCCCATTCCTGAAACATATATCAACAAGTTTGAATCTGTGATTCAATGTGTATCAAATTATCAAGTATTAAATACTCACGTAGAATTTGAACTCTGTATTGATAATGTCGTGGCTGTCTCTGGTGCGGAGACAGTCCAGCATTACATCAGATGGCGCTTGTGGACAGTCAAGGAATTTGGCGAGACGGAAAGCATTCCGCAGAGCCTCTCCAGGGGGCGCCTCTGCCCAAGGGACCAGAGCTGTTCCAGACTCAGAGATGCCTTTGTGAAATAAACCTGGGGGATAGCATTTTAATTACTAATATTATATATCTTACTTATCTTAGGTATATCAGCCAAGCGACTTGATTTTAATCGTTCAATTTCAATTGAATTAATTAAACAATTATATTGTCATATTGAAATGCGACATTTTGATTTCTTTGTGTATGTAAATTGATTTTACGCCAAGCAATTTGTTAGTTTACGCGCTATATTATTCTTATGATTAGTAAATTATTAATGCAATTATTATACATTTTCATTTTTATATTTTATTAATAAGTCACACTAACAATATTTTTCTAACTATGAAAAGCCAACTTTCCAAACCTAACAAGTAAACACGACATATAGAATAGAGATAGGCTTAGGACGATGTGTTCGGTATGTCAGGAACAATGACTGCAGTGAACTGACCTACACTTGTCCTTGACAGCATGTGGTAGTGGACACTAGCGCCGCCCGCGCTCTCCCCGAATATTGTGACAGAATCCTTGTCACCGCCAAAGCTGTGGATTGTCTTCTGTATGAACCGCAGCGCCTCCTGCTGGTCCTTGAGACCGTTATTGCCGGGACAGTGCTCGTCCTGTGTTGACAGGAAACCAAGCGGACCTGCGAAAGTCGTTAATTTTTCCTCTGTGCATAAATCTACTTGAAAAAGATTAAGCTGTAATCAAAATTTATATACTATCGCCATGTAATAGCTCATCGCTATTGAGATGTGTACGTGCTCGAAGTCGTACAAACGCAATAGCCATATACTTACTTAGCATGTGGAGTAGTTAGAGCTAATACTTTTTGATAAATTATTAAAACGATCATTAAGCATTCGCACCCAGCGCGAGTATGTCACTGAAGGTATAAAGACATAGAAGATGAATTCGGATAAGTTCTAGAAGGGTGGACGTTTGATAAGATACATCATCAGCTCACTATACGTCCCTAATGAGGAGCTCAGAGCCTACCCTAAGTTAGGAGTGACAAGATTACGGGACCAAAAATATCTAACATTACAAAATAATTGTTTTAATGTATTAATTTAATTTTCCTACTTTTTTAACGTGACATTATGGCGCATGTTAACTTAAAAAAAACATAGTCTCACCAAGTCTATAATTCATGGCTACCAGGATAACATCTCTGTCGAGGAGGTACTGAGGACCGTACATCTGCGTGGTCGCGTCACCGCACATCCAGCCGCCGCCGTGGATGAAGACCATCACAGGAAGCAGACGACCACTGTCTATTTCCTACGAAACATTCCCATATACAAACAATAGAAACGAAACATGATACAAATGCTTGAATATACGATATTGTAGATGGTAGAACAAGAAGCTTGGAGCCCATAGCTGCGGAAGAGAATGAGAAAGAAATGCAAAGTTCGTTCCACTTAATTCGGTTTCTCATAATATTGGGCCTACTTATTATAATGTTCATATGGCCGTAGCAAATTCATCGTGACTGTATGCTGCAAGCATTTTATGTATTAGATAAGCCCTCAATAAAGACAAATGAATAATTCACTTTATAATGATCTATGATCATTGCAAATCTTATAATACGTCTAAATCTATACTGAGGTCAGATTGAGTGGATGATAAGTAAATTAAGCTTTCAGGTTAAGTTATCACTTATTTTGACATATGACAGCCGCCGAGTTTACCCTGACATTACATTAATATTTAATTGATTCTAAGGTATAATAACTTGCACTTAATTCAAAGTTAAACTTTACATTAAATCCAAAGATTATCACATAATATTTTGCAATTGAATATAAATAAATTGCTATATAATGAGCATATTTTCAAAGCATTTTGTTTTACTATAAACTAAAAAAAGCTGTTAAATCCACCTTAAGAAATAATATTTAATATCTAGCATATGTCACGAGATTTAAACGCTCTGGTTACTCATAGAAATAATACGTTAGGTATTTTTCACATGATTCATACAATAAAGAAAATGGATCTTTAACTCTTCAGACTTACATTTCCCGTGAGCGGTGTGTAAATGTTGAGATACAAGCAATCTTCCTGCCCCACCACCTCCTTCTGCCGGGTGTAAGGGTTCCGCTGGACGCAGACGGGGCTCGTCCGCGTCGCGTCCAAGACTCCTTCCCATGCCTCCACAGGTTTGGGACCCTATAAACAAAGAAATGTACTATAACTTGAATTGGCACGAAGGGTAGAAGAATAGTCGTGATCCTGACGTGCGAAAACAAATGCTGGACGTTAAATAGTGCAGTCTTTTAAAACGATATTTTTTGTGTAAAATAACTATCACCAATTGAACTATACATGTTCTAATATACCAATTAATAACTACAATTAAAAATGTTATCTTTGTTATGAACGGACATGGAAAATTATGTCTTATTGTTTTATGTCAAAGTACAAAATCATTTTTTTCTACTAACCGTCACGAGTTGCTACATAGTATTTAATTGCTCTCATACTAGTTAAGCTGCAGCTAACAAGATTTAAAGTGGATAAGGAAAACTAAGTATTTTTTAACATTGAAGAAATGCAAGTGTTCTGGATGACAAGTTACATAACTTCAAGTGGAATCGTGGTCAGGCGCTATATTTTTATTCAGTACTAGCTGTGGACGGCGACCCCGTCCGCGCGTAATTAAAAAAAAAACTTACTTAGTTCTAGGCAAAACAATTATTCGAATTTTTCTCACCTCGTAAACCTCCCCTAGACCTCCGCGATCATTTTAAGACCAAAATAAGTTAACATTTAAAAAAAAATAATTGTCTCCACGTGCGATGTCGGGACCGACCGCTAGGAAAGAATAATTTGTGCCAAGTTAATGCTCTATAGAAGTCCGTACATTTTTACCTCTAGGGCTAGTACTATTACTAGATGTTTTAGGAAGTCAAACTAATAAACAGATTTGTTTAATTTCAATGATAATTAAGCTTAATGATAAAATGGCGTTTGTCAGATGACAGGTAAACATGTTTTGACACCGCAAAGTGTTGAAAAATTATCACACGAGAAAAACATTTTGTTGGTGTGATTTTTTTTTAAATGGTCATAGAACATGAGGAAGATAGTAATTCTAATGTAACTAAACAAAGCAGTAAGCTTGGATTCATGTCATCGCTTATTTACTTAACGATATGTTTTTGTACTAGTGTTTAACAGTGGAAACACGCTATCGTCTTAATACAACGTGTTTTGAAATAACTTATTTTCCTCATAATATAAAACAAATCGTTTTCCTTTAGGCTATGAATTTTTCTTATTAATTATTCATGTAAGAGCGAGAAAAACAAAATAAGGAAGATAATAGTAATCTGATGTAATCTTCATGAATGTCTCATAATTCTATATATATATATATATGTAATACTAGCTGTCGCATGCGTCTCTGTCCGCGCGGTATTATAAAATAAAATTTAATAAGTAGCCATGTGGGTTTCAAGACTATGTTCTACATCTGTCTCAAATTTCATCAAAATCTGTTGAGTCGTTCTGAAGATGAATTCGAACAAACATCCATACATCCAAATATTGGCATTTATATTATAATGTTAGTAAGATATTTTAAGACTCCAAAAACGTGTAACATCATTGTGCCTACGATATAATACTAAAAACATTAAACAATATTTCAATCCAAAAGTTGAAAAAACGTAAACCAGAAAACCTTATAAATAATTTTCAAAGTTCAAGGTGTGACATGTAACTAGATAAAAAAACTAACCATCCTTTATGAAAAAAAAAATATTCGGCCGTTTGAGAACTCGTCAAACCGGTTTAGATTACACGCGCGTTAAAACGTTAGCGAATTGATTCATAAATAATTTACTGCTATTAGTACTCATAAATAATAATATCTAACATATATCTCATCCCATATTTCATTTACAAAACAATGATATAATAAAAATCATAAATTACATTAATTATTCGTTCGATTAACAATAACGAGCTTGATACTTTACGAAATGACAAAGTACACAATCAAACGGTGACATATTTAAAGTGAAGCATTTAATGCACGTCACGAAGCTGAGATGTGGTCACATAAATTTGTTTCTGGCCACTTTGCTTCTGCTTTGTCAAAACAACCTACGACGTTACTCATTTGTTACCTGTGGGTCACCACTGCCGATATATGTACATACTTGTGCAAACCGAGATAACAATATGTCTTTATATTGGTGTTACGACAGTGAAAACTCACGACAAAACAAACTCACAATGTCACAACACATGCGTGGCGTATTGCATCTTAATCGAGCCTAACCATTTATTAAAATAATTACACGTTTTTTGTTTATCGGTACAAATTATTTCGGCGGAAGACGACTATGGAAATTTTTGTATGTAAATTCTACCAAATAAAATACAAATATATTACAATGTAAAATAGCGCATAAGCCTACTTAGTGTATTTTTTTAATTCAACGAGACAAAGTCGCGGGCAACAGCTATGTTTCTCAACATAATAAATTAATAGAAATAATTTTCAAACCATTAAGTCTAGGAGTCTGAACATCATTCAGAAACTTTCTAATTTATATCGGCAACACAAATGAGATCTATTTGTGTAAATATATTAAAAAGAAGAAAAACAGATTACGCCACAGATTACAAAAGCGATTTACAAAAATGTTTGTGTGCAGTTTATTTAAATAAACAAGTAGTTTTAACAAAACAACAGATTTATCTGTCAACAATATCGTTATCGAGATTTATCTCGAGAACTTTTGTCTCATTTATGTATGTAATGTTCAAATTAAAACCTATCCCGCTCGTTCTTTCTCTTTGTAAAAACAGAAATACCAAGAACACTTACAAGATAGTGTATTCAGTTCAAGAAGATAAAGATCCAAAACTTTGCCTTTTAAGGAAATTGCCTGAACAAAACATGACACAGTTAAAGTTAACGTTGGAAAAAAGTAAGTTTCCTTTCTTCAATTGACGTTGTCAATTGTTTTATATCAATGTGAACACAACATGAATTCATTTGAGCAATCTAATCTATGACACGAAAGGTCCTAATTAATGTTTAAACATGCACCAAATAAATTATGCTTGTATCAACACAAAGCATCTTATCCAAACACAAGTTTAAGATAACTTCTAAAAGAACCGCAAAAATTTTCCAAATGTAAAACACAATAAAGATGCATTTCAGTTATGGTTTCCATTGTCGTATGACAGAACAACAGGTTTATTCTACCTTTCCACTGCTGTGACACTTGTATTAAGGCTTTGAACCGAGACTTTGCCTGTTGAAAAAAAGGATAAAAAGTATCTCATGTGCTACTCGAGACTATGTTCTTTATCTATGCCAAATACCGACAAGATGTGATGAACCTTTGCTAAGTTATATGCGTACAAGAACCGTACACATTTTAAAGATCTATGGCATTTGTGTTGTTTCAGAATGTGTTCTAATTTAATTGAGATTCATACGACTTGAAACAAACATCCATCTATACATCCAAACATTCGCAATTTTAACATAAAACTACTACTCAATATCTGTGATTCGATTGACTTTTTTATATTTTAATTTATTCTCGCATTTGATATTAATCTGTGCTATTATTACGTTGTAATGTTGGTACCACGTGCCATCAATTACACATAACCGGTGAATATAATTATAGTGTAAATGACTTTAATTTGTAAGAAACTGTTTACTTTATCCGACGTTTTTATGACTTAGGAAAACGTGTTAATGCAACCTGCACATAACAGCGACAATATTCAAAGATAAATGTGAAGACAATCAACATTATTCACATGTTGTTGATCCAATCGCCCCTAACTTAGAGTAGACAAGAGTTCCTTTAGGTCGTTTATAAAGAAGTACATTTAGTCGCACAATAATATATAGCTTCATGTAAACACTTGATTAAAATATACACTTTGTATGTTGTTTTCATTACTCACATCCATTGTTTGTCCTTTTGAAGATATTATAGATATAGCGAAGCCTTTGATACAAGATTAGGAATTAAACCTCTTTAAAGTACGGTTACACTGTCTGCAAACAAACATATTTGTGGAGCAGTGATTAGAAATTGTCAACATCACAATATTGTAGATTTATTTCGTAAAAAATTAAAAGATTTTCAATAAAGTCAACATATGGCTCATGTTATAATTTATGATTTTTCGATGATCAAAAAGTTGACCCCCCCTAGATAACATTTATCAAACTTACATTTAATAAACAAAATTAAAAGAAAATATGTAAAAATAAAAAATGTAGCATCTTAAATTAAAAAATCAAGTTACCAAACAAAATAACAACAACGCAGTAATATTTTTAAAAATACACAGAATACAAGAAACAATTCGCGCGGGAAATCAGACAATTCAAAGTAAAAACAAATGTCTTACAGAAAAAAAATACTATTTGTTTTTATAAATGAGATAAATTGTTCGCTGTCTTATTTACCTTGAATCTTAAATCGTTGACCGGGGGTTTTGCGTACGGTATACTAGTAAATGCTGCTATCTGTCTGCCTCCCCTGGTCTCCAGGAAGTAACCTTTTAAAACTCCTAAGGGCGTCTTCACTGTAGGTTGGTCTTCAGCCCATACAGCGCACAGCATTAGCACACAAGTAACGAGAAACATGTTTGAACGCGGTCCGTAACTAAGGGAAGCGTAACACTGAATGAAATCTTTGGCAACACGTTGTTGTATTTAAATACGTTAGAGTTAAATAGATATTTGTCACCGTCAGAATATTAAATTGGTCTTATCATAATCATACTAGCCGTCAACACTGGCAACAAAACGTATCATTGATAATTCGACATTTCGATGCATTGGCAATGAAATCAGTGGGATGAAATAGACAATTTTTAAAACTGTTTATGCGTTTTTATTTATAAATGAGGTTTATAAGATCGAACATAATATAACAAAGTGTCAATTCATTCAGTTTACAACTTGACTATAATTTGTTTAGTGAGGTTATAAAGTGGCGAAGTTAACAATTGATCGGAGGCATACAGAGGCGGTGTATTTACCGCCATTTGACATGAAGATGGTAACTGTACGTACTTGAGTTACGATGAGAGTAAACAACTTTACAAGTGTCGTCACCGACAGACTCACAGGAGGGGAGGTGAATTGGAAATTGCAAGTCAATAATACATTAATGACCTCTCAGCAGGTCTCATACTGATTCTGCACTTAACCACTCAATTGGACACCAAAGAAGTTACATTAAAATTATATTGTGTACTTCTCACCAATTCCAGCACCTAAAGCCCGCCATAGACGTACTCAAAATGTAGATAGTCCACTACAAATATTCATATTTGTTTATGTTTTTTTATGACGAATGCTATCAATATGACTACAATGAAGACATGACGTGTTCATATTGAATGGCTAAAACCCTGTCGGGGTATTTCTCACACAAGAAGGTAAGAATCACTGAGGAAGAACAGACGCTGAAAATTATTTTCCTGTCGTAACTCACACGTAAAGTAACAATAGGAAAAGCATTATATTATGTTGTGGAATCCAAAATGTTGCTAATGATAAAAAACCTCATTAGAATTCTTATAAAATTTTAAGAACAGTAAAGCGTATAATTTGTGGCATTTGCTGACGATATGTATAAAATATTTATAACAAAAAATTGCTATTAACATAAACAAAATTGCTGTAAAAACAGGAATCGGCTGTTGGATCTAAAACTAGAAAAAACGGAAATTTACTAAAAAACAAACTCGCGACAGTGAACATCCGTCAGAAAAGCGTTAGGCAACATATTTACCGCTTTTTATCAAATTAATAAGTAGAATTTTAAAAGAAACTGTACATTCAAAATATTTTCGAAAAACAAACCAGTTATTAAGTACAATGAACTTAGTTGAGCCTTCACTAGGCTAGTTTACTATGTAACAGAAGATATATATGTGTGTGTGTGTGTGTCTTTTAGTAAAACTTTTTAAAATCAATACATTATAATAACAATTTATTTGATAACACATTAGCTTCATAATATGACCGGTGATTTGTAAAGTTCTTGATGTAACGAAGCCTTCGAACGATTTCACAATACCAACATTAGTGACGACCTTTCGAATTCAAAATAATTATGTATTTCGTCAGCATGAGATCTCACTGAGGTATAATCTTACCTTTGAAGTTTGATGAAAAACATCTCTGTGTTACTGGTTAACTATCTCTATTTTTCCAAAGATAATGAAAAGGAAGGCAATACGTTTTTGTACAAGACCCGAGTGCTAACTAGACGATCTCTAATTTCTCTCCCAGTGATCTTGACACAATACGTTTAACAATACGTTTTTTATAATTTGCTTAATTAAATTATTCGTTAATTCTGTTTGTCCCTTCTATGATGGACAAGGGCGTCCTTGACTCTTTTGCTATTTTCATTAGTTATTTTATTAACTGGAAACAGCTTGTATACATATACGTATTTCCAACGATATTATTTTAATGAATTGCATATATTAGTAACAATTTAAACCGCCACCGCAACACGTATCGCTTACAATTACTTTATTAGCCCTAATGTCATCTAATACTGTCATTATCAATTGCAGGCGCGATAAGGTATAAAGGTAATCGTTAAAACATAATTTTTATATAATGAAGGTAAAAATATAATTATAGGTCAGGAAAGGGTTAATTTAGTTACGTAGTTATGTAGGAAAAACTAGTAACATCAAGTATCATAAGATTAACAAATGTAAAAGTATTTTCATGAAAGATTAATTGGAACAGGCGAGTGTGTATGTTTAAAAACAACACAAAAGTTAAATCAAAACACAACCGGCACACTTGGTCCTTGCGTTACGATGTCTTTGTAGTTAAGTACTTAATAAAACAATAAACAAAGGCGTAGAGTCCCATACAAAGTCTCTGACATTCTAACAAAATTTAGACGCTGAGGGTGTCTGCTTATCCCCCATTTATGGATAATGCTTATTTATATATGGTCATGTTGAAGTTAAAACAAAGAACCCAATGTTACGCCTAAGAACTTTGGCTGGCCATTATGCATATCAATAAATTTTCTATTACATTGTATGCAAATAATATTTTAGTTATGTAATTTTGATTCTGTATTAATACAATGCAATATGCTTTATATGTTTTTGTTTTCGACGATCTTCATTTCCATATTTAAAGCATTACTCTTTACATGTCACATAACATGACCAATCTTGCGGTAAACAAAAACATCTATTTAATATATGTCCTGCACAATATATTTGAAGAAATGTAAAGGTGACTCGTGTCCCATGTACGAGCTGATAGTGTCATGTACAAGTTAATATATCTCTACATAATATTATTTGATCGGTCGATATTAATTTTTCTGACACATACCATTTCGTTGCTTTATTTAGCACACTCTCATAATTAACAAAGCATTCTCATGTTGAGTTCACATTGTTATCTTTTATAATCACAAACTATAATCACTCCTAGCAAAAGCTCTCACACTTTAAGGGATAAAATCATTATATAAAACTACATTCTGTCTGATATCTCAATCAAATGTAAATATACGAAACCTATTTAATGCAGGTCTACAACCATGCAAAGTTTTTATAAAAAGTTTTCAGTATAATAAATAGGTTTTGATGGAAAATAAATTTAATAGTCTTCCGTTCGGATTTACCGCAACTTTTTATTAAGGAGAAAGAACATTTCTTGCAAGGTGTTAGGCCTCCTTCTGGTCCTATACCTCGCCAACTTGTCGGCGCCGGGCAGCGCGGAGGCGGCGGGCTGATCCGAGTGCTTCGTCCGCGGCATCAGGCTGAGGTGCCGCCGCCGGTACGTTAGCTGCTCGTGGGTCGCCTTCACCTCTCGCCTGTTCTTCAACTCCTCCAGAGTACGGAGTATACTCTCGTTCTGTCTCGCGATCCGATCTGCAATATTCATGATGTACAAGATGTCGTGGCTGAGCCTCGGCAGCTGGATCTTGTTTACCATTTCGAACTTCTCCGAGATGGTGTTCATCGCCATGAGGACGTGTCCCGAGGAGCTGCGCAACCTGTCCTCCGACTTGCCGGCGGGGTGCTGGCACAGCGCGCACGTCCAGTGGTAGCCGAGGTCGCCGCTCTCCAATACTTCCTGTGTCTCGCTCACGCACGCCACGTGGTACTTGGAGTCGCATTCCGAACACCTGATACCCTCACCACTCCTCAGAATCCTCCTGCACTGACTGCAAATCATACTGCAACAAGTTTACAACATTACAACACATGCCTATGTACTGTTGTAGAAATTAATTTAAAATATATAAGTAAAACGCTGATAAGATTTCAATTACTAAATATGTTTGGATATAAGATCTAATTTAACATTTAAGACACATTGTAAATAGATTAAGACATACGGCTGCTTCAGTTTGGTAAATAAAACAAAACTAGGCGTTATCTTCTTACCTTTAAATGTTCAACTCCACTATACGACCATAGGTAGATAATTTATTCTCTCACATGAATAAATTTGAGTTCGAGAAAGATATATTTGACCACTTTTACGACAATCTCTCAAAAAAACGTTAAGGTCAATGACCTTTTCATATTAACAAAAATCCAAAATAGATAACGTAAAAAATTTGGAACATTAAAATCCACAGTACATTTTATGACATCAAATATTGAAAATAATTAAAATTTATTCCATGACATACATATCATCCTAAGTCATTGCCAATAGACGTAAAAATTAAAATTGTTTTAAATTCATTTTATTTTAATTTAATTTTTCGGCCTGTTTAAGATCATCAGAAGAGCGACATGATTGACCACACTTTGTATTTTATATGAGTCAAGATTACTGCTAGTTATTATTTAAATTATACAATACATAGTATTATGTAAGGCCTAAAAAGATAAATAATTGTAAATGTTAAATTAAAACAATATAACGACAAAACTCCCTCTATTGAACATAAGACAAAATTAATGATGGGTGTTTTTGTTTAGTATAGCAACAGATGGCGCTATCCTTAATTTTATAGAAAACAACCAATCTGCAATTGAAAACAAATTTTACGATCTTGAAATAGAATGAAAATGCAAGGAAAAAAATAAACCTTGTTGTATATATTTTTATTTAGAGTTTATTTTTGTATTTAATTTGAATATCAAAATGGTAACAGCTTGAAGGAATAACGCCATCTATTTATATGATGAATGGATACTTGACAGGAGAATTTATTAAAATGATCCAATAAGCAATAGATGTCGCTACGTGTATTCTAAATGAATTTAATTTTAGTTCATGACTAAGCTTATCGAGTCTGAAACAGCGCGAAACTGATTAACATAATTATGTGCGTAATTCGATGTTAAATGGCATCAACGAAATAAACATTTTTTTGTATTTTCTCTTTGTTAATATTATAGTCATATTATGGAATATAGATGTAGTTTTTCTTCAAGTAGGTATCAATTAGTGTAGTTAATAATACTTAGCAGTAGATTTAATACGTAACAAGGTCGACACGACACGGCGACGCGTCGTCGCCAATGCTTGTCAGTTACTTACCTCACGGTGTTTATCACATTAATTCACATGAAAATCGATAAGTTAACCGAGTACATTCTTTTATAGCTATCTATCTATAAATGATATTTAAGTATAATAATGCTTACATAGCGGAAATTACTAGCACATTCCGTTAAATATTTTACTAATATAATCCTCATTACCGTTATCTGTATCAAACTAGACAACGACAATTCTAACAGTAGTATAGTTTTTTGATCGTACGTTTAGGTTTGTAATGGTTGATATAAAGGTATATTTGATAGAAGGTGGGTAGGTAGAAGTAGTGACATATTGACTAGGTATTTTAGTATTCGCTTACTTTAATTTATGTTACTATGATCATTTTGAAATGGAAAATAATAATCGTCTATTGCTTGTACTGTAAAATTAAATCAAATCAAATCAAATTTGAATACCTAAATGAGGGTGGATATTTGCTTAACGTTGATAAGCAAGTTTAATTTATTTTCGCGGAGATGACATTGAGTGAACGAAGAATGCCCGCTATTTTATTAAACACAAACAAATGTTTAATTACAATTTTATGATTGCTGCTAATAATCTTCACTTTAAGGAGTCAGAAACAATGTATTTGAATTTACTGTTAAGATTAGGATTATTTCCACTTTTAATATAGATATGGTATATTTCTTATAATGATAAATGTATTATACATAGTTTGGAGTTTAAAAAAAAATGAAACATATGAAAAAAGAAAAAAGTATTTATTAAACGTATTAATGTTTAACAGTGATTATAGTACAATAAAAAATGCAGCGTGCAGTTTAACATATCCACACCGTCAGTATACATCGGCTAGAATAAGATTGCACCCAAATCAGTCCCATTACATAAATATAGTTTACAAGTTGGCGTGATACTTCTTGTAGGGAGCGAGGCCGGCGGCCACCTTGCTGCCGAGATCGGGGTGTATCTGCGAGAATATCTTCACGGCGCGCTCCTGAAGGAACCCGGCGGCGTCCTTCAGGTTGCCCACGATGTTGACCACGCAGCGCGCCTTCTCCGCCTCGTCGAACACTTGCTTGTAGAGGGCGGTGGCCTGCGAGAAGTTGTCCTCCGTCTGGCCGCTGTCGTAGCGGTCCACGTCGCCCGACAGGTTGTAGCGCGGCTGTAGGCGTTGCGCGCGCGGGCACTCTTGCGGACCCGAGAACGAGTTCGGGAAGTAGTTGGGAGCGCCCTCCTGGTTCTGTAGGGCCTGTGGGCCGTCGCGCTGGTAGTTGGTGACGGCGACGCGGTACGGGCAGTTGACAGGGATCTGCAGGAAGTTCGCGCCGAGCCGGTGGCGGTGCGTGTCGCTGTATGCGAACAGGCGTCCCTGCAGCATCTTGTCGGGCGATGGCTCTATGCCGGGCACCAGGTTCGAAGGACTGAAAGCGATCTGTTCCACCTCCGCGAAGTAGTTCTTGGGATTCTTGTCCAGCACCAGCTTACCGACCTGGATCAGAGGGTAGTCCGAGTGCGGCCACACCTTAGTTAGGTCGAACGGATTAAATTTGCAGCTCTCGGCTTGGGCCATGGTCATGACCTGGATGTATAGGGTCCAGCTCGGGAAGTCGCCCTTGCCAATAGCGTTGTACAGGTCTCTTATCGAGTAGTCAGGGTCCAAAGAGGCGAGCTCGGCGGCCTTGTCGACTGGCAGGTTCTTGATGCCCTGGTTGGTTTTGTAGTGGAACTTAACCCAGTGCGCTACTCCTTGCGCATTAACCAGTTTGAAAGTATGCGAGCCGTAACCGTTCATGTGCCTGTATCCGTCAGGAATACCGCGGTCTCCGAACAGGTAAATGACCTGGTGACTCGTCTCCGGCCTGAGGGTCAGGAAGTCCCAGAACATGTCGGGATCCTTAAGATGCGTCGCGGGGTTTCTCTTCTGTGTGTGAATGAAGCTGGGGAACAGGGTGGGGTCTCTGATGAAGAAGATGGGAGTGTTGTTGCCCACCAGATCCCAGTTGCCGTCATCGGTGTAGAACTTGACGGCGAACCCCCTGGGGTCACGGACGGTATCGGCGGACCCGCTCTCGCCCCCCACGGTCGAGAACCTGACTGCGATCGGGGTTCTCTTGCCGATGGACTCGAATACCTTTGCGGCTGAGTATTTAGTGATGTCGTGGGTCACCTCGAAGTAGCCGAAGGCACCAGCACCCTTGGCGTGCACGACTCGCTCCGGGATACGCTCCCTGTCGAAAGATGAAATTTCATCGAGGAAGTTGACATCCTGCAGCAGGGCGGGTCCGTTCTTGCCGACGGTCTGGATGGCGGTCTTTACTCCGACCGGGGCTCCGGACTTGGTCGTTATATAACCAGGCGAGTCCTGAAAGTGAACATTGAGACATTATGTAAAGGTTGTTATTGTACATGTTATGTATTTTGTTATCATTTAAAGGTATGTAATTTTATCGTGGATGAGATATACAGATATAATAATTGTATCTAGAGCTTGGTTAATGATAAAGCAAAGCCGGCGGATATATTTCACGGTGACAACATTCAAAAACATTTTGGTAAAAAATCAATAATCCTAGTTATAATTATTTAAAATATCTCGGAGTCTCCGAGTTCACCAGATGTTAAATAATACATACATAATATGTTGTTAAAATATTCGCATATTGTAGATATATTTTTACTTGAGATAAGCAGAGATATGTTCCCTCCTCGTAACATTTAAGACCTCTGTCTACGTCATCACTCTATCATAATGTGATAACTTAGTTACTCAAACGTAAACAATATGGTTTGTTAAAAATTTATAGAAATATTAATATATTTAAATTATTATTATTTGTTCAATGAAATCTTTAACAATAATTAAATATTTTTCTACTGAAACAAGAAGCTATCACCTAACAGATACCTACTTGGGGAGACATTACAATACTGCGCAATTTAAAATAAAAACATATATGTAGGTAACATTTGATATAAGATTACTGACTTTAAAATGAAATACTATATATATTATATAAACACCGTGAATTTTGAAATGTATGCAATCTTTACTACAGTATGTTTGTTGTTCCTGGACCTGATTATGTAACGTCAAAAAGATATATAACTACCTAGGTACCTATCTTTTGACTTATTCTAGACATCAGATTAATATATTTTTTCTAACATAAATTTATAGTTACTATATAACTAACAAATAATAAGCATCAGCATAATAACGTTTACTTTATAATAAAATAAAAACATAATTCATTATTTTATGAAAATAAAGTCGCATTGCGCAGAGCAGACACAAATTACACTTTGATCTCTGTCATAACAACTCTGTTAACACTTTTTATTTTGTACAACTTTTGAATGAAACATTTTGTAAATAACACGTGTGTATAATTTATAACAAATTGTATGTCACATCTTCATTTGTATTTAGAAATAAATACAATTATGATATTACTAAAACATCTAGCACAAGGAATAAATATATACTTTTATCACTTTATACTAATCGGAACTATTATTTAATATATGCTTTGCATTAATGAAAACATACCAACACTATTAGGTAATAATGTTCAAAGTACAAATAGATAAACAATGACTTGTGATATTGAACAACTTCAAATTAACATTCGTAACAACTTCCAACAAACAACACAATTTATACAGCGACTAAAATAACTGTATTATTAAGTAGCGACTTAATACCTAAATAAAATAGTAACAATTGTACCGACCTTAACGCATTTGCTGAAGTTCACAAGTTGGTCGGAAGCGGGATCTCTTGAAGCCATTTTGTTGTTAAAGTAGTTTTTGTATTTGTTATGCAGACAGACCGGTTTCACAACACACGGAGCGACGCACTGCTTCAGTACTGTTATATCAAATGAAACGTCGCCGGCCAATCTCGCTTTATATAGCCTAACCACAAGCGTAAAGCGCTTCGCCTCGCGTATGTGCAACGGTCCCACACGTGTAAAGCGCTTCAACTGGGATACGTGCAATGATGCCACAAGCGACAAGCGCTGTGTTTTGAGTGTCAGTAACGTCGCAACAAGCTTAAAGCGCTTTAACTGACATATGTTTGTCCGTATGCAAACAGAGAAGCCACACGGGTGGGGCCGCGCCGCGTCGGCGTTCTTCCGGCGGCGGTCCAATTGAATAGCGAATAATCTTCATTTATAATATAGGAATTAAAA